AGAGGGAGAGGGAGAAGCAGGCTTCCTGCAGAGCAGGGGAAGCTCAATGTGGGGCTCAATCCCAGGACCCCAGGATCATGACCCGAGCCAAAGGCAGTCACCCAATCAACTGAGCCACCCAGGTGCACTAAATTTTTTTTTAAAAAAGCAGTAGTGTGTATGCACTCTCTTTGTGTGGCATGCTGGAGCACAAATACCCCAAACTGATAAACTATGGAGAAAAAGGCTATACACAATGCAGTGCTATAAAATAAAACATGCCATCATATTAGTATGTTACAATTTTTAAAAATCTTTTAAAATGTTTGCTTAAACTACCTTCCTGGGGCAGGATAATGCCCAAGGGGTGGGGGGGATATTTCTAATGTTGATATTAAGCTTCAACTTAATATTGCACCGGCTCCCACCCTCCCAGGGGAATGGAGACACCTATCAGAGGTGGAATCCTAGCTGCTCCCCAGCCCTCTCCCTGTGCTGGTGTGGCCTTTCTTGAGCAGGCCGGCTCCTCCCATCACTGTTAGGGAAATAGCGGCCCCTTGTGGTAAAGGTCAGAATAAACGTGGACCTTTGAGAGGGTTCAGGGTTCGTTCAAAGCAGAGGGTTTTACATGTCAGAGCAGTGGGGACAGCCATCCAGAAACCTAGTAGGAGACAGGGGATCCCCCACGAAATGATGCCCACTTTGAGGGCCCTGAAGGCTTGGGCCAACTCCTGGAATGAATGGAGCCCACAAGACCCTCCAGCTTGCAGACAGGGACTGAAGAAGCTCCCTGCAAGGGGCAGTGGTGCTCAGCTGCCTCTGGTGCCCAGCCTTTTGCCTGAGCACGGACATTTCCCAAACACCTTCTCCGCACCCCAGGCGTGCTGGTGGCTGTAGAAATCTGCAGTCAACATAATGCCTGCTTGCACAGGTTGGCCTCATCTTCATTATGTAAAAATGTGTCTATTTCCTCCCTCGGCTCTAACGTGAGTTCCTGGAGGGCCCAGACTGGGCACTTTATCTCTTGGTAGATTTTACAGCAAGCAGCGTGGAGGCTGGCACAGAAATGTGCTGATTGATGTCTCTGCAGAAGGACACTAGGGGGAATCTGGCCTGCTCCTCCCTGCTCTGCCTCCTCTTCCTGCGCCCATATTGCTTGAGACAAATAATGAATGAACTTAGAAATCGGCAACTTTCAGTCCTGCCCACCAGCCGTCAGAGCTGCTGTTGACTTGACACACTGCTCACCCCTCCTCGAAAGTGAAACCAACCCAGCATCTTTAGGAGTGTGTCTGCTTCACCAGGGCTCTGGACCCTGAGGGCGCCTGAGGTGACCCTGTCACTGGTTCTGTGTGGAGCTCAGGAAAGCACCTGCGAACAGGCAGCTGCGGAAGGAATGACGCTAAAGGCCCCTTCCTCAGGCTTGGCACTAGGGCTGCTTTCTTCCTTTTCCTGCTTGTTTCCTTTTCATAGTCATCACCTGTGGACAAACAGAGCTATTGTGGAGACTGGGGAGCTCAGCACTGTCTCCTGCTGTCTCTTCATCCTCCATTCCCATGTTCCCTTTGGGTAAAGGAAACGTGTTGGCAGCACCAGCAAGATATATAGGCCCCTTCTTTGTATTTCAGTCTAGATCAGACAAGAAACCCATGGCCTGCAGCCAGCATACAAGTGTGTTTTGTTTGCCTGCCTAGTATTTGAAATTGTGAAATACCACATAAAAAGCAGTATCTCTGATTTCCCTTTTAAAAGCAGTGCTTTTAACATCTAGCAGTGCTGGGCCCCACATTCCCACCTGACTACAGTCTTGGAGCTGCTACCCTCATTTGGTGAGGTAGCACTCCCCAGTTTGGCACAGCCCCCACCACTCCCTCCTGTCTACACTCAGGCCATGTCATTCGTCATGTAGTCGGCCTCAGTCTGAAGACATCTGAGTTTTTGACCCTAGAAAGGATCTCTGAAAGTTGGTCCTGAACAGGGCAGGGAGCACACTCTATGGAAAAACCAGAGTGTAAGACTTACCCTGAACGCTTTTAAATAAATATAATATATATAATATATATATTTACCTATATATATTTACATATATAATATATATATATTTACATATTAGAGAAAAAGAGAAAGCGTGAGTGAGTGGGGGAAGGGGCAGAGGGCGAGAATCTTTCAAGCAGACTCCCCACTGAGCACGGAGCCCGACACAGGGCTCGATCTCACAAGATCATGACCTGAGCTGAAATCAAGAGTCAAGACACTTAACTGACTGAGCCACCCCCTGAAAGCTGCTTAATGGAGAGTTTACCTCAGGGGAGTCTATGAGAACAGGAAACCCTGAAATCATCTCATTTTCTTTATTCCAGTGGTCAAACACCAGCAACATCAGAGCTGAACTTTTTAAGAAAAGCACAGACGTTGGAGACATACGGAGTGGACCCTCACCCGTGTAAGGTAAGACCCCCGTGGTTGGAGGCTGCACTGACCTTGCCTCCTCCAGAGGCCAACAGGCAGGGAAGGAGCACATGCCTACGCCAGCCACCCTCAGTATCTGGCTGACTGGCTCTTTCAGCGACAGAGGCCAGCAAAAGTGTCACTCCCTTTGAAAACGCCTCTGGCTTCCAAGCTGCATAATTTTGTGGTGCCACATCAACATCAGAGGGTCCGAGGCAAAGTCAATCTAAATAACAAATCCAAAGCTGGTGCCCCACTTTGGCAGCAGTGGGTAATTTTGTGGAAACGAAGAGAGGAGTATGGAAGGCCCCCCACGGGGAATGATCAGAGGCCGCTCAGCGGACTGCCTGCCCTTCCCTGACCTGTACTCGCGTTTCTTTCCAAGAGCAGGGTTTATTGCCCGCAGCAGCGCAAGTCACTGCGCGCACCTGCAGTGGAGTCGCACTTAATTCCGTTACGCGCCTGGGAGGGGAGACAGGAAGCAGCCAGGAAGGCTCTGCCCAGGGGAAACCTCTGTAATTGCTCACATGTGTCTGGCATTTTGGAGAAGAGCCCAAGCAGCCACAGTCACTATGCAGAGCAGTGGGGGGACACGGCTTCTTCCCCTCTCCCTGTGGCTGTGTCCCTCCACTTCATCTCCTCATCTTGGTTGCTGTGACACTCCTGGTCTCTGCCTCAGTTTCCCCAGCTTTTGCCTCTCTCTTTCCATCACTGGAAACAGTACCACCAGTAAAGCTGATTCTCAAACTAATCTGAGGGAGGCCAGTATCCTATGGGAACAAGAGGACACTGACCTTTTTCTTCCTAATGAGGGGACACCGTTAAGTTTCCAACAAAAATTAAAAGAACAGAATAGAGGGGCACCGAGGTGGTGCAGTCAGTTAAATGACCAACTCTTGATTGAGGCTCAGGTCATGATCTCAGGGTCATAGGATTGAGCCCCATGTCAGGCTCCATGCTCAGCAAGGAGTCTGTTGAGATTCTCTCCCTCTGCCCCCTCCTCAAATAAATAAATAAATCTTAAAAAAGAAAAAAAAAAACAAAAGAGAAAGCAAGGAACCCAGTAATGTAGGTGCAGAGTGGCATTTCCCTTGGCCTCTTGGTGAGATGATGGTGATTTGTTCTTGCATAGGATTTGATGCTGAAACTTCCAATATGAACTTTTGAGAACATTCTGGCACTCAGAAACCCTGGTCACCTTTCCCACTCCACACAGTTCCCTATCCACCAGTACAACCCACTGCCAGATAACCCTTGTATTCTCGGGGGCCAGCACTGTCAGAAAACACATTCATGCCTGTTAGTACAAAAAAAAAAAAGTATGGTTATTTACAAATGAATTCGCTAATGCCCTTGTATGAACGGATACAGATACATCCACGAATTGCTCAGATACTATCCGCAGGGAAACTGCATAGGACTGAAGAGAGCTTCAGAGTCAGCTGGCCTTGGCTGCAGCTCTGATCTCTGGCTTCCTGAGGCCTTCGTAGGCTTCTCTGAGTCTTGCTTTCCGCATCTGTGTGAAAGTACACAGAAGGTACTCAGTGACTGTGCTCCACGAACTGCTGAGTCACTTCAGGACCTTAAAACACATAGCTGCTTAGAGATAGCGATCTTCACCATAAGGTGCCAGGTCACCTCCAAGCCAGCTAGTAGACAGAACCTGAGCACAACTGAGTGGAGGTGGGTGAGGGTTCTCAACTGTTGCCTATGTGCATCTGGAAGCTACAGTGGCAGCCAGCCCGGTGTCCAGCCCACGTCCGCATGTACCCTAGGGCTGTGAGGCTCCTGGCTCAGACCCACCTTTGATGAGTTTGTCCATTATCAGACAGAGGCTGAAGAGGCTGCAGGAAGGAACCCCTATTAATAACAGGCACTATGTGAGGCCCAATCCCTCATCATTTCATCCCCACAGCATCAATTCCTTGAAGGAAGGAGGGAAGACACATTTGTGGCGTGCCTCCCATGGCAGGCCCACTGGAATCCTTTTGCATTATTTTCTCATTTAATCCTCATGCCAGCCCTGGGAGGTGGATTTTACTCTTCCTGTTTTATAGGTGAGAAGAGGCCACAGCGTACAAGGCCCTGAGTAGGAGACCAAGAATTTGAACTCAAGTCACTTCCCATTGTTAGGTATCTATAAGGAACAGGAGACTCCCTCTAGGGAGAAGGTGGGAGCAGTCATCTTACTGGGCTTCCAGCCCCTCGTTCCCAGGCTCTGTACTTCCTGCTCCCCCAGAGTCAGGGCCCTGCTGCAGACCCCACACGTGGCCCCTCAGCTCGTCTCACTGGGCTCCAGATCATAGTTTCCTTAGCCCTCCTGAGCAAGAACAGTTCAGGAGCCTTTACTCTTGTCATTAAGTAGGGTTACTTTGGTGATATGCTACCAAGCACTCGCCTTAATGTTGCTACAAGGAGAGCTGAAACAAGCTGGAGCACTCGGTGTAATAAATACCGATGATTTCTATTAACAGAGAGGCAATTACTGGGCCCAGGGAATCTGGGGCATGCAGCCCTAGGGAGGACAGAAGAGGAATCGTTTTGATAATTAAATGAGAGCAGAACAACACTTCAGCTGGGCTCTGTTCTCCTGGACTGATTAAGAAGCTGCTGTTCTTATCCACACTGATGGTTTCTTTCTGCCCAGAGTGCCCTTGTCTGGCCCTGGGACGAGGAAGAGGAGATCCTACCAACTCTGGGTGGGACAGCCAGAGGGCTCCAGCAGCTGGCTGGCTTACAATAATACCCAGGTTCTGAACTTGCAGAAGCTATCCTGAGCTCTCTGCATCGCCCCTCAGCCCCCATCTTCTGACGGGAGCCCCTAGCAGGAGGAGGAAAATGGAGCAAACCACTGGCAGCCCAGTGTTGCATCTATTCCCCAACTCTGACACCTCTCCAACCTCAGGAGCCACCATCTTGGTCCTTCCAGGGGGCCCTGGGACTGGTTGTTTGCCCTGGATCTCCTGTTGTAGGCCCAGACTGTGGCTTCTTGCCCTGTTGAGGTTTATGGAGTGGTCAGACCCATCACAGATACCCATCCTGCACCCAGCCTTATGATGAGTCATGAAGGTTCCATTTATTGAGAGCCTGCACCTGCCCGGCACTTATATATACTATCTCATTTATTCTTTACAACAACACTGCCAAGAAGATGTTCTTGTCCTCATTTTGAGATAAGAACACTGAGCCTGGGTGCTTAGGTGGTTCAGTCAGTTAAGCATCTACCTTCGGCTCAGGTCATGATCCCAGTTTTCTTACCCCGCTCAGCAGGGAGTCTGCTTCTCCCTCTACCCACTTCCCCCCTCCCTCTGCTTGTGATCTCTCTCAAGCTCTATCTCTCTCTAAAATAAATAAAATCTTAAAAACAAAAACACTGAGCCTCTGAGAGACCAACTAACATGTCCAGAGTTACTGGTAAGGGACTCAAACCTGAACATGCCTGAGTCTCCATGCTGTGCTTTTTCAGTTACCATTCATAGTCTTTCTTCTGGGGAGATGGCCTGTATTTAGGAACAAAGAAGGACTCACTACCAATTCTGATAGAACGATGACACCACTGAAATCATCAGAAAAATTTAATGCAAGTTCACCAAGTGGCTTTATGTCTGTTCTGCACAGGAGAAAATTGATTTCAGAAGATCTAGGTTAGAGCAACCATACAAATAAAATTGTCATTCCTCTGACCTTTCATAATCAGCCACCTACGCTCCTCTCTAAATAAACCCCCTTCCCCATCTTGACAAGTTGCCCCCGACCTCAGAGAAAAAGAACAAGGATCAGCGATTAAAAAAAAGAAAGAAAAAAGAAGAATCAGCGATGACTTGCCCTCATCCCCAGGTGGGCCCCTCATGGCTACGCTGTGGGGAGAGTGGTAGGTTTACTGCTGAGATGAAGAACTTGACTAAAGCCACTTAGATGGCAAGTATGTGACAAGATTTCCATTTCTGATCTTTAATGGGGTGACACCAAGACTCTTACAGGGTTGCCTCCTAATTTCCACTCTGGTTTCTTGTGACCATGTTTAAGTATATCACTGGGTGATTTTCATGATTGACTTAATGTAAAGGTTCCTAGCTATGAGTTTTCGGGGATGGGCATAAGTGTGTGGAAGAGCATGTGAAATCTTCTTCCCTAAGGTTTTCTTTTTTTCTTTTGAAGATTTATTTTTTTCTTTTAGAAAAAGAGAGAGAGCATGCATGTGAGCAGAGGGAGGTCCAGAGGCAGAGGGAGAGAGAATCCCAAGCAGACTCCCCACTGAGCACGGAGCCTGACACAGGGCTCGATCCCATGACCCTGAGGTCATGACCTGAGCCGAAATCAAGAGTCGAACGCTTAACCAACTGAGCCACCCAGGCGCCCCTTCCCTAAGGTTTTTGAAAACAAAGGTTTCACCCACCCATGTTGAATTAGTTTAAGTCATGCTCCAGAGAGGGAACTGGATGATCTTGGGAAAATACCCTGGTTCTGACTCTGGCATATCCAGAGGTGGAACCCACGGGGACTGGGCAAAGGTGGCCAGATGTCCCTACATCCCAGAACCAGTCAGTGCTGTGATTTCCAAAAATCCTTTTCTGGGCAGAGTGATCATCTTAAGGTGAACCTTTGATGTCAAACTGATGCAGTCGAGTTTTATGGTGGTTTCTACATGAACATATGAAGGACTCCGTGCAAATCCAGCCCTCCTCCAAGAAAAAACACGATTGGCCATGACTTGGCAGTAAGTCATGTAGGCCGTCACCCTAAAATCAGATAGAAGTAGTATTTCTTGAAGTATATATCATGGTCCTCATTTGACAAATGAGGAAATTGAGGTTCAGAGAAGTTAAGTAAGTCACATACCAAATAAGAAGCAGGGCTAGGGTCCTAAACCAAGAATGAAGCTCTTCCCACAAGGATGAGAAATTGAAAACAGATCTTATGCCTCACAACTACAGAAGTGAACTAAATACTTTAGACCATTATCTGATGCAGAGGGGGGCTGGCAGTATGTGCTGTGTGGCCGCCCAGATTGAGTTTTTATTCCACCTCTCAGATCCATGAATGCTCAGTCCTGTGGGTACCGATCTCGTCAGGACAGGAAGGGGACAGAGGGGAAAGATAGCCTCCAGCTTGATAAGATGGAAGATCTGAGGAACAGGTTACCACTTTCTGTGTCACTTCTCTCCTCGTCCTCATTTCTTTCTCTTTTTGTCATATAACTTGTCCTTTTGCACACAAATCCCAAGGGCAGGCTCACACGAGAATGACATGTTAGATGGAAGAAACTGGGAAGGTTCCGGAGAAAGTGTCAGCGTGGCTGCTTATTTGCGTTTTCATGCTGGTGCAGATGTGAGGCTTCTCGCTGTCATTCCAAGTCTGCTCCTCACATGCCAGAGACAAGTAGCAAACCTTCCAGCTGCCCTCGCCCGGGTGGACACCCAGGTGCCAGGCTTTGCAGGAGCCTTCATCCACAACTGTTGCATTGGAAGTAGTTTGGAGAATTGATCTCTTCATGTGAGAGACTGGACTGGGATTGCTCAAGGGGCTATTATTACTTATTGGAATGATGTGGCGTCTAATTGGGGTTTATTCCCAGTTTGCTCTCTGTTCCAAATCAGCCAGTCTGGTCAGGAGAGGCTGTTCCCCTTTAACTCCAACATCTGCCTTCACCCAGAGGCCAGCTCTGAGGTGTCTGGACAGTGCAGATGACAGTGCCAACAGACAGCCTGGCCAGTGCTGCCCAGCTTGTGGGAGGACCTGCTCTTCCCTGTGCTCTGGCCAGAGAGGCCTGTCACTGGGACGACTCTCACAGATCTCTGTCACAGCCTCTGTCTCCTTCCCCTTTTGCCCACTTCACTTTGGCCCCAAATCCCCCTCTCCACAGGCCCCTAACAATGAATGACTGACTCCCCCTTTCTACCCCAACTTCCCACACCCTCATTTCCTAACTAGCAAAATTTAAATCCGTCAACATCAGGAAAAATAGTAAAATACTGCATTTTTTACGAAGATTTTGTATGAAGCTCAACAAACTCATATTAACAACAACACAACCACTAACATGTCCTTCGATGTCTACCAGGCGCAACTTAAGAGATAGATAATATTATCAACCCTAATTTTGCAACAAGGAGTCTAAAACACAGAGAGATGGGACCTAGCTGAGGTCACACAGGCAGTGAGTGGCAGAGCCAGAACCTGGGCTTGAGTGGTCTGACACAGGGCCCATGACTATGGTCATGCGGCAGGCGCTCTTCTGCCCTGCTCTTGCCCACAGGGGTCAGGGGTGCAAGAAGCAGAGGGAGGCCCTTCCCTGGCCAGCCCACTGCTTCCCTTCCCTACTCTTTACCCATTATTTCTAGCCACCCACAATCCTCTGCTGACCTGATCCTTCCTTTCCATCCTTCCACCTATTCTTTCTAGGCCTTTCCTCTCTCTCACAACACTGTAAGATGCCTTCCCCACCTTCGCTGCACCTGTGCCTTCCCCTCTTGTTTTTGTTCACGTTTGTACTTCCCCCTGGCCCACCTCATTGTCTTACACATTCATCTGATAAACCTTTCCTGCAGGCCTGTTCTGTGAGTACTAGTAAGGTAAGGTTTCCACCCTCAAGTCACTTTCTGAACCTGCAGTTTCTGGACTTCCTTGGGTCCTGCCTGCACCATGAGCAGAAGGCCTCCCGGTGCCCACCCTCCATCTGAGGCAGGCTGCCCTCTCTCACCCATGTCGGCCAGGCATTCTCCCCCACAGAGGCCAACCTGCTGGGTTAGCACTGGTGCCCCCGCCAGGGACCATGCCTTTGTGCAGTGCTGGCACTCAGGTATTAATAAGCACCACTAAGCACTGATGACAGGCAGGAGGAAAATCAGCCCCGTGGCTTCACAGTATCTCCATTCAGGTTATTTTTAAACAGCTTTTTGCTGTTGCCCCTGGGTTGAAGGACACGGTGCTTGCAGCCAAGTGTCGGGATCACGAAAGACCCTGAGGAAAGGACAATAAAAACAATACATTAATTGGAAATGTTTGCAAAACACATAGTTTATTCGCTAGGCCCAGATGCTCACACCTGTAACCCTGACTCAGAGAGACAGTTTTAAGACAAAACTGCATTTTTTCCTTGAGGCAAGGCTCATGAGGCCCTGCAGAGGCCCCACTGTTCTTATTCTTAGACCTAATCAGGCTGAAGATGTGTGCCAGGGAGGCAAACCATGAAAGTGGGAGAGACTAGGAGAGCCTGACAGCCACAGCCCCCACTTGGATGCCTCACACCAGGTGCCTGACCTTGACCCCATGGCACCATGTGAGCTATGGCTCAGACAGATGTCCTACATGTACACTTGGCCAGCATCCTGGGATAATTTTCTGGCCACTTGAACACACACTCTGACAGAGCAGTCTCTCACCCAAGGGCCCTATCACGAAGGAAGTTCCTCTGACAGAGCATAATCCATCTACCTGCTTTCTGTGCCCCACCCCCACCTGGCTCTCAGGGAGGTCATTTTCCCACGTGAGGGAACCATGACCTACAGCTTCTGCTGTACCTCCTCCTGGATTTGCTCAGCAGAACCTCAAGCCTGGTATTGACAAACTGATAGTGACCAGTGGCCAGGAGGCCTCTTTGATGGTTCAGGCACCATAAGACTGATGGGTGGCTAGTCCACTTAGCTGGTGGCTTCTTATCTTTTCTTCAGCTAAACTTTGTGCAGAAGCCCGGTGTGTAGGGCCACCATAATAATAACTGCCATTCATCCTCTTTCTCTCTGATAACAGCTTTTTTGAGATATAATTCACCTATCATAAAATTCATCCTTTTGAAGTGTGTAATTCAGTAGTTTTAGTAACAGAGTTATGCACCTATTAGCTGTCACTCCCCATCTCCCCTTCCCCACAGCCCTGGCAACCAGTAATCTTTGTTCTCTATGGATTTACCTATTCTGGACATTTCATAAATGGAATCATACAACATGTGATCTTTTATAACTGGCTTCTTTCACTTAGCATAATGTTTTCGAGGTTCATCCATGTTATAGCGTATGTCACTACTTCATGCCTTTTTACTGCTGAGTAATATCCCTCTGTATGGATGTACCACACTTTATTTATTAATTTTTCAGTTGATGCATATTTGGATTATTTTTTTGGTTATGAATAATCCTGCTATGAACATTCACGTACAAGTTTCTGTGTGAACACGTTTTCAGTTTTCTTGGGTACCTAGGAGTGGAACGAACTGTTGGGTCATATAACTCTATGTTTAACAATTTGAAGAACTTCCAAACTGCTTTCTGAAGTGACTGCGCCATTCTACAATCCCACCAGCAGTGTGGGAGGGCTTGCCATTCTCTGCGTGTTCACAACAGCCTTCTAAGATTGTTACAACTTATAGTTGAGGGCACTGAAGCTTAGGGAAGGTAAATAGCTTGCCTGTTACTTCCAAATGCTCTTCCCTCTGTGACCTACTGCCACATATTAACCCTGTATCACCGATGAACAACTACGTTTCTCACCCTTTCACCTCTATGCCTGCATCACCCTGATGAGAGGTCCTTCTGTGTTGCAGGATGTGTCAGGAAACGCTGCATTTCTGGCCTTTACTCCTTTCGGGTTCGTTGTTCTGCAAGGAAACAAGAGGGTCCACTTCATTAAATGGTGAGTATCTTCATTTCCAAAACAGGCCTTTTATACCTCACCAGCTGGGGAGGGCTATGGTTCCCATGTCCTTTGTCTGTGATTGGGCAGTTATGGTTCTCAGCCCCCTCAAAGCCTTGCATCCATAATGATAACTGATCAAGGTAGTGGTCTCTTCCTAGGGATCCTATTCTTCCAAAGGGGTGTTCCTGAGAGCCAACAGCCTCTCCAGAGAGAGAAAGAGTGTAGAGGGTTGATTTCCGGGTGTGATGAGAGACCCAGGGCCGGAGCCAATGTTAGGGAGGCAAAGTTCCTACGAGAAATGAGTCCTTGGGACTGTCCCCCACTGAGGACCACAGTATCTGCATGGCTGTTTACTCCCTTAACCACTGGCCTAAGGGAGGAGGGGCTCACCTTGGGGCAGATGTAAGTTATCTTGCAAAATCCCCATCCTTAGGCCAGATGCAAGCTGTCCTTGGCAAAACGCCCTCGTCAGGCCAACCCCCACTGTGGGCACTGCCTGCAAAAGCACAAATGCTGCCCAGTCTCTCTCCTGTCCCTCTTTAGGGCTCAGGTGTCTTCAGCCTCCAGGAGTCACATCCCCACCTATCTTCCCCTCTCCCTCCTCCCAACCCCATTTCTAGCAGGCAAGAGCTACTGCCTGAGCTGAAGCTACTCTGAACTACTTCCTCTCTCCCCTGTCAGTTTTGGGTCTGTTCTGGATGGTTCTGGGAGCTGATGCAGCACAGACTGCCTTATTGATGGACATTTGGCTCTCCTGGAGCCCCTTTTTCTGGCCTGCAAACATCTTTCAGCCTCATCAGAACATGTTGTATATTCTACTAAGCCCCTGTGATTTCTGTACCTTTTTGGCCTTCGACTGCCAAGTCTAAGCTGGCCAACTCCTCCCCTGAGCTTGGACAAATGGCTTACCTTGCCCAGCAGAGCTCAGCTGGGGAAGCTTGCTCCTCCTGTCTTGGTTCCTTTGCCTTCTCCAGAAGAGCTGATGGGGAATCTGAGGACAAAGCGGTTTCCTGGCGAGCTTTCTGTTGGGGGTGCTGCAGGGCATCTCTCTTCTTGTGTCCTCTTCAGCTCCCCCACTGAGCTTGTGGACAGACACCACCTTTCCAACCCTACTGCTCTTGTGCAGTCTGTCAATATGATCATCAGAGTGCTAATGGAAGTGCCCCCCAGACACGACCAGTCAGGACCCAACCCCCAGGAAAACAGCCACTTCACAAGGCAGGTTGCTGCACTGAGTAACCAGGGCATACCCCAAAATAGCTCGTTGCTAGGCCTTCTGAAGTTGGCCCACTCACTGTGCTCTTTGGGTGACAATGGTGAGGGTTTGGGGTCTCCTTTCTAAGAAAATACTTTTCAGAAAAAAGCAATGAGTAGGGTCAGGCCACTGCTCTCCCAGTGAGGAGCACTTGCTTCCTGGATATAGCCGGGTTGTCTGATAGCGCTTAGAGGGCCCAGATCCTGGCCCACACCCTGATCAGGGTAGCTGTCTCATGAGGTTCCTGGTAGAGGGCATGTGTAGCTAGAAACAATTAGGACACACCTGTTACAGGGCCCTACAGTCCAAAGTATCCTTCCCCATCCAGAAGCCCTCATGCTCACCTGATTCTCCCCAACACTTTTCATTCTGTGTCTTCTCTCACATCCCACTTCTTCAGGAAGTCTCCTTTTCACTGTGTCTCAATTTTAAAATAACAGATGTAGACCTAACCTCACTTTCAACAGAATGCTCCTTACTTTCCTATCTTGCTTGTTGAAGCCTAGATGATCAGTGTATTTGTTTACATATTAATTAACTAATATTTATTGTATTCTGAATGTGTATGAGAGAGACTGAATGGGAGGGATTCAAACAAGGAATACCATGTGCTTGTATTAGCTCAGAACTGATGGTCACAAATTGTGAGCTCTCATCCTGACCCAGCCATGATTTCTAGGAAGCAAGTGACCTTCCTCTGTCCCCTAAATTTTGGCCAGTAGTAAATTAGGTACATGGTTCTCACTACCTTTCTGCTACTTCCTAAGATATTGAGAAAATCTCCCTAGAGACTGCAAAAAGGAAGAAAGCCAAGTAGAGGCAACTAGGCATGGTCTGACCTCCTTGGGGGTCCCAGTTGGGTACCAAAATAAGGACTCCACCCCCCAGTGAGATGGAAGGGCCTTCAGGATCCAAAGGGCAGCTGTGTCAGGCAAATGGAAGAGAAGTGAGGAGTGACCGATGCTGAGGCCTAGTTCTCTGGCTCTCAGGGACATCCACCAAGACCCTGGTCATTTTTACATTTTGTAAATGTAACCAAGGCTGAGAGCAGTATGTGAAGGTGAGGTCTAAGCTGTGCCATGTACAGTAACCATGTCACTTCTTCTGATTTGTGTCTGTCCCGCGGGTGACGTACCCCAGTATCCTGTTTGCCTCTTTTACTGCAGCCATTCACTGGGCTGGTGGCTTCAAGGATTTTTCTACAAAAACCCCTAAGCCCCTTTCCTGGTCAGTACGCTGCATGACTGTTCCATGTAATCTGTTCTCTCTCTTTGGTATGTTGCCCTGCCCCCCTCCCTGAGATCGTTTGACATTTGTTTGCATTAAACTGCATTTTCCATCCAGTGGCACAGTCACCTGAAAGACTCAACTCCCTCAGAACCTGGTTGCATTGTTTTTCATTATTTGCTGTATCTTGAACTTTGGCCTCATCAGCTACCTGTGGCACCTTACATTTGACAGTCCCATCCAGATAATGCACCTGTATTATGAACTAAATCCTGAAATGGCCCGGGACCACTCAACCTAGACTCACTTCCCATGCAAAGGTTTCCCTCTTACAGCCACTGTTGATGAGCCCGAATTCCTCCTATCACCCTATTATTATAGTGTGATTGACCAGAAAACTGTGGATTGAACTGTTTCAGCAACTGTTCTCTAAGGCCACTGCGCTGCTGTCTTGTTTCAGTTCTAATTTTGGCTAAAACTGTGTCTGTGCCTGGAGCCCCTTCCAGTCAGGGTGGGCTGTGCATCTACAAGACTTAGCTGTGAACAAGCAGCCCACAACAAGGTGACAGGTGCTTTCTTTGTGCTTGTAGGAATGAGGTGACCAAGCTGAAATTTGAAGGAAAGACTTTCTATTTATACGTAAGTCAGAAAGAGGTGAGTGCTGGCTTCTTTCTCTTCAGGGAGGGCTGGGGCACTGAGTGGTTCCTGATGGCCAGGACTGAACCAAAGTGGTGTATCCAGGTAGAACTAAGCCATCTGAATGATAAGCCAAGACCTGAAGGTGAGGGATGGAGAAATGGCTAGGCCCTGGAGCCCAGGACTTTCCTCCGGGATGCTGGTGACACCCAGAGGTTCCATACCTCCAGGAAATGCAGACAATGCAAGATTCTTTTGCTTCTATATGAAAATTCCAAGAAGATAATAAACTTTTAAAAAGAAGTAAAAAAATCCCAAATGACACTAACACTTTCTCTGGTGAGGGCTGTCTTGCTTCAGTTTGTACAAGCTGAGGCTTACTGTACTGGGCCTGCCAGGTGTGAACTTATTGAATTGAGCTCTGCCCCAGTGGGTCCTGCAGGCCTTCTCTTCCAATTAGCCAGCTGCCAGGCAGCTCCTTCCCCCATCTGAAATCTCTTCCTGCAGTCCTGGGGAGCCCTCAGACAGTCCAGGGGTCAGTGTCCTATGGCCATTTCACCCTTTGCTTCTCCATCCACACTCAGCTGTTTCTATATGGGATTTTTTTGTAGGAAAAGAAAATTATTCTCACATATTTTGCTCCAACTCCAGAAGCCTGCAAGCACCTCTGGAAATGTGGAATCGAGAACCAAGCCTTCTACAAGTGAGTGGACATAGGCAACAGGGACTATCTTTATCAGAGTCGAGCATAAAAGCTACTTTTAGAGTAACGATGGGCAGGAAAGTTTGAGGAACACTGAGAAAGGAGACATAAGATGACAAGGCTGAGCTTCCTTATAAAACTCAGACCCCTTTCTGGATGTCTGTACTCCCTAGAGGGACATAACTGAGGTCCAGGAATGTGTTTCCAGTAGAGATGTCCAGGGGGTCCACTTTGTGACGTCCTTGGACAGCTCCCGGTGCAAAGCAGTTAGGGGTCTTTTCAGGGCAAGGCTTGGGCCTAAAAAAGCCCCTGGGTACCTGACTTGAATCAAGCTGGCCCTGTGGAGCCATTCAGAGCCACAGGAGGCCCATAAAAGGACAGACAGCTCCATGAAGGAGCTGAGGCAGGCCAGAAAGATCTCTAAGCCTTGGAGAGCCTTTGGGGTTTGCTCCCCAGTGGGTGGCCTAGTGCTGAGCTGGGGTTGATGCTAGCCCTTCCTGATGGGTCATTGCCAGAGGTATTGCCAGTAACAGACCCAAGTGCCCAGGAGCCTGAGCAGGGTAGCAGGAAGGGGGGCAAGGACTTGTCTGTTATGGAAAAGCCAGCTTTGGGCCAAAGGCAAGAATTCTGATTACCACAGGATTTGTAAAGTATATGAGGCTTCTGTGCTGTTTTGATTAAGAAAGTGGTTATAAAGGCATTAGGGAACAAAGAAATAGCCCATCAAGAAACTAGGATGACGCCAGATAAAGTATGTTTTACTAAAACCCTTGGTCTTGTTTTAAAAATAGAATGCAATGATTTATACTTTAATAAGCTGTATCTTAATCAGGACAACATAAGACAAAGTCTGTGGTATATTCTGCCTCTGACAAGCCATAGTTCTCCCTCCAGTAACCTCAAGGATCCTAAAGAGAGCAGAACTGCTCTGAGCTGGAGAGGTACCATTCTCCTGCTGCTGCCTGCTGGCTGCTATGGGATGCTGGCTGGCAGAACTGGTTCTCCCCCTTCTAGGGCCACAGCCCCAGACGCTGTTTCTTGGAAAGGCTTTCTGAATTGCTTAATAATTTCTATGCATTTGATACCAGAATCAGGGATGAGCAGAATGGGCAGCCTGAATTATAACCTGAGTCGGCTTCTTTCATCTTCTGAAGAAGACACTCAAAAAAGACTTTTGCATGGTCAAATTTCCCTCCTGTTCAGTCCCTAGCTGTCCAAGGAAAGCCAAGAAAACATGTCCGCACCATTTCTGAAGACCTTTGTTTTCTATTTGTGTCATGGGAACAGAACTGTGCTTCTGCATCTGTGACCAAACTCAGTGTCTGAGTCTTTCCATTAATAAAGCCCTCACCACCCCCACTAGTCCTGCCAACACCCTCAGTGGAAACCGAGGCTGTTTTTCACTTTTCCACTGATTACTTAATGTTCTTTACTAAGTGTTAAAAGCCTCTAGCTGGGGTCAGATCCCCAACTGTGCTAAGCCCATCCAAAGTCTTAGCAGCAGCCACTTTGGCATCACCCTGAGCACCTTTCACGTGCAGATCCCTGGCCCTGTCGTTGGCCTAGTACTTTGAAGGGAGGCAGGTCAGACTCAAGGACATGCTTGGGCAAGAAGACAAGGAGACTCAGAGCCTCACAGAACCCTGAGACAGGTGGGGATGGTATCTCCCAGGAACTGCTATTCATGGATTTGGGAGACAGCTCCCTAAATACTGACTGCCTGCTCATGACAGAGGCTTCAGACCCAGATCGGTTCCTGTTTAGATCAGCACTCCAGGCACCTCAGGGCATGTTGTAAGCTGAGTCAGGTCTTGGGAGGCTTCACTCTGGATGGTTCTCCCCAGCTTCCTTTTCTAAGTGTGAGAGGGCCATTTGGGATCAGAGAAGTCACCTAAGAGGATATTTTACAGTGCCCATGGCCTTCCAGAGCCTCCACATCAGCTGTCTACAGCCTTGAAAGTGATGCTAATAGGCTTACTGTGAGAAGGGGAATGATTCCAAGTTCAAATAAATGATGGAACTTATATTAAAGTTAAGCTAGTTTGTTCATTTTAGGACTTCTCAGAGTCTTTAATAGAACATATTTTATGACTCTCCAAGAGGGGGATGAAATAGGAAGGGCAGCCCGTACTCTCTTCTCCACCCACAATTACCCAGACATGGACATGTATCATCAAATACTAGGACTGGAAGGGACTCCTGAGGTCAAGTAGCTCCATCATTTTATAGATAAGAAGACCAAAGCTAAGAAAGGAAAGAGATTTGCCCCAGGTCACACTGCTAACAAATGGCCTGAAATTTGATGAGTGGCATTCTATTATTCCCCCAGACCACCATCCATAACATTTAGTCTCAGTCCCCCTGGTGAACCCCATGAAGCACTCTTGGGGAGCCCTCACACTCCTGACGTGAAAATGGGTTTCAACATGACTGTCTCCAGCACTAAGGCTGTGAGGAAGCTCTCAGGTCCTAAAGGAAAGTCAGAGACAAGCCGGGCTGTGAAAGGCCTTTTCCTGAAGAGTTTCCTCAAGTAGCCTTTGGAAGGAGCTGGGAATGCGCTGCCTTAGCCTGTGGGGCAGTTGCAGGCCATCTGTCACACTGGACTTTGCCTTGCTGCAGGCTGGAGAAGTCAAGCCAAGTCCGCACAGTGTCCAGCAGCAATTTATTCTTTAAAGGGAGCCGGTTCCGATACAGGTAAATAGTGACAGTAAGTAACTGTTATGGACCTATTTTCAGACCCTTCTCTGGAGAACAGTGGCTCAGTGGTCCTTATCCTTGAGAACAAAGAAACTGGGAACCTCCAAAAAAGCCTGAGGTTCCCATCCAGTTCTCCTGTCTCCTGTCCTTTTGACTATTTCTTTCCTTCCCTGCCACCGTTTGTCTGCAGGGTTTAAATATGTATCTTCTCCTTCTGCCCTCACAACAGCAGTGAAATAAGAACTGTAGCAGTGATTCTTTTCATGTCTGTCTAAAGATTTTTTTTTTTTTTTGCAATATTTCTGGAACATGCTGGACAATGAGAAATCATTTCTAAATGAAAATGGAAAATCCCAACGACTCGAGATAGAGAGCTTTCTAAGATAAGCTGTCAGGACATCTTAGAACTTACCCAGCAAGCAAGCCTTTCTCAGTGACCTAAACATTGGGAAGGGCTAGGCCAAGGAGGCCACCTCCCAGTTCATCCAAAGTATCTGAAGCCTTAGACAGGAGCCTGGTGCTAGAACACCATCTCATCCCTTCCTGCTTGTTTTATTATACTATTTATAGTGGCCGAGTTGCAAAGGAAGTAATGGAGTCAAGTGCGAAGATCAAACGGGAGCCACCAGAAATACACAGGTAGGCTGCCACGGACTTCCCCCAAACCAGTTGAGCTCAGATCCCAGAAGCTCCAAAAAGGCAGCAGTTTCAGTACTATGAAGATTCTGGATGCAGTGGCTCTCACAAAAGGGGAAGGAGAACACGGCAGGAAGGTGAAGAGATCCATCTCAGCTAAAGGCATGGGGAACAGTCTGACCCTGGTATCCCTGAGCCTTGAGGGAGCACGGGGGAGGGCGTAGTACCCAGTACCACATCCTGGGTGCTTCTCTACTGTCCTCCCAAATCCTAAAAGTGGTCATAGGCCATGGAGGACATGTCCAAAGTGCAAGATTTCCTTAGTTCTGGAATCAGTCCATTACAGAAAGCCAGGGATAGCCCCACAGCCCTACCACACTAGGTCTAAAATAGTTTTGAGATCCTTGCTTCATGTGTAACTGCACATCACGTATATCTCCTAAACCTAGTAAGATCCAGAAAGACTATGATTGGCCAAGACAGCTAGGGTTCACCAACCAGCCTGATCTCTGGGAATGGGAGCATTACTACCACCTTCACATGGCACCCCCTGCCAAGAGCAGTCTCTCTCAGAAGTCAGAGAGGCTGCCATATCAGTTTTCAGGCATGTTTTCTATAGTACTGCTTATGCTGGGGCTCTGCATCCTGACAAACCTGCCCAGAGACCAGCGGTACCATTGCTGCACTAAAGCAAGGCTCAGGTGGGTCTAGGATATGAGGTGGGAGACGAGTCTAAAGCAGTGTCTCTGACTGGAATCCAGGGACTAAAGGCAAAAAATAGGTATTAAAGACTTTTAATAAATCAATTAAATAATAAATAAATAAATAAAATAAAATAAAACTTAACACAACCAGGCAGTTCTAGCAGCTACTTCTCAACTCTGAGTCCTGACCACATCTGTCTATGCACTGAATTAACAAAGTTCTCTTTTTCTTTAACCTCAGAGCAGGGATGGTTCCCAGCCGCAGCTGTCCCTCCATAACCCATGGCCCAAGGCTGAGCAGTGTCCCCAGGACCCGCAGAAGAGCTGTTCACATCTCCATCATGGAAGGTGAGCATAAGCTCTGGAGAGGACCATGGGGTTCCTCTAAGTTTTGACTTGGACCACTTCCTCTCAGGGATCTTGAACAGAAGTTGCACTAGAGACAGGAGCACATTTCTCCAGTGCAAGAGAGAAGGTTTCATGCAGTGGTTGGGAACACCAGCTGGGTGTCAGGTGAAGGATAAGCCCACCCAACCCTGCTGAGCTGTAGTCTAAGAGGGGGTTTAAATCTGAGAGTGTTGGGGCAGACCTTTGGGAGACTGTGTTATTACATCTAACAGGTTCCATGCAGTTCTGAAATTGCTTTCCATCAAGAGACTTTTCACTTATTTTTGAGATCAGACTAGTCTCCACAGTTTAAATGATCAGGGCGGCTGAGGCAGTTAACCAAGAAATGAACTCTTAGTTCTGAAGCATCCTAATAGCTGCTACCACTTTCTATTTCAGTGGGAGAAATCTGTCCTCTTGCTATCTGAATTCTTTAACATGATCTCGGGATATCTCATATGCCCCACCTCTCTCTATCCTACCCTCCCTTTGGAGGAGGTGGTCCTGGGGGGGAAGAGACAAAGTCTGTGAATCTTCACTGAACTAGATACTGCAGTAGCTGAGCCTGATACCTCTCTACTCCCTGGGTAGTTAATACTGTTAGGAGACTCCTGGAATATTTCCCTCATGGTCACTGACTCAGCTGCCCCACAGGTATAAAGTTGAATGCTTTCATTCCCAAAGATGTTTTTGTAGGACCTCAGAAGATCTAAAGCTGCAACGAACAGCAGTGGGTTTGCTTCAAACCTGTCCTGGAAAGGGAAGACTCTGTGCCCTTTCTGTGGGAATGCTGATTAAGGAAAATAAAGAACTACTTAGGTTAGGAAGGACATCACTCTGCGGCTCCCCTGTGAGGATCATGGGTTTGTGTTTAGGATTTTATGTGTCACTGACTTTGCATTATCTAAGTCTGGCATATAACTACAGTCTAGGGGTTGAGAACCCTGGCCGGGGAACCACATCAAGTGCCTTAATTATTTAAGTATCTTAGTTGTTCTATTTGTAAAATAGGGGTACCTTCCTTGCGTACCTACCCATGGGCTGTGAGGAACCTGATGTACACAGAAGTACTTTAAAGAGATTAAAGCATTTACTGGACAGGGAACAAGCACAGTGCAAAGAGGCCTGCTCTGGAAGTCAAAGATGAGATTCGGATCAGAGCTCTGCCATGTACTTTCTCTAGGGCAGGTTGCTTCACCTCTCTGAGCCTGTGGCCCCCACCGTAGAGTGGGGTGTGGGTGTGGGAGGGTGCCTTCTGAACTACGAAGTATAATCGCTATGCAAAGTATGAAGTTACTGAGGTTTGTCATCAGACACGGGCTCCTGGTTTTTCCTCCAGTCTTAGGCTGAGCCGGAGAACTGAGCATAGCTCTCATTGTCCCTCTTCTTTTGGGGCATTCATCTCAGGAAAACAGAATGAATTTCTTCTTTTGAGGAAACATAACTTTCTCCCCCGCCCCGTGGCCCTTCTTCCTATCCATCCTGAGGTCGGAAGGCACCAGGTTCACCTCAAAGCTCCTGTAAAAAGTCAGAACAGCTGTCCTCCCAGAGAAAAGGCCACCCTCTGGCGCTGAGCACTAATACAGGTCTAGGGAAGAGCCATCTGCATTTGTTCTCCAGCATATGGAAGAATGTCCAGTAAAACCCATGTTCCCAGAAAAGGGAAGACAGGCTGTCCATGTGGGGGTATAACTCATTTATAGTAGTTGCCAACCAGGGTTAGCAGAACTACTAAGAAGTGGGAAACCGGTCCTTGAGCTCTCCCAAGACAAGCTACGAGGCTGCCCCAGTTCCCAACCAGCTCTGGCTGTGCCCCCAGCATCCTCCCAGAGGCTGTCTTCTCCCATTGTAGCAGCAGTAGTCTCCTCAGCATCCGAAATAGTCCTCTTTGCTTGTAAAATGCCAGGGGAGGGTGCAGCAGGGGAAGGCCACCAAGGAAGCTAGTAAAGAAGAGACTTCTAGGGCCAGGGCACACCGTCACCATCTCAGCCCCCATGGAAGTTCACGCCTGGCAGACTATATAGCACAGCAGGCTCCCGTGTGCTACTCAGCAAGCCAACCTGCTGCTCACACCCCATGCCTGACTGAGGCTGACTGCACACAAGAACAGCCTTCATCCCCAGTCATGGCCCTCAGCCCAGGACCCATTAGATTCAGGAGGACAAAAGTAGAAGCAGCTAAGAACTGCCCCAGCAGGAATGACACTAACAGGCTCACAGTGAGGAGAGGCAGATGGACATCTGGTTTGGATGTGGGGGGAAAAAAAAAAGATTTTAGCATTTAAGTGGCTCTATCAGTGCAGGGATTATCAAGCCTGGGGAGATAAAGAATGGATTATTTCCCAGAGAGCTGAGCTACACCATCTCTCAAGAGGGGTTTCACCTTTAAAGCGCCCAGCAAACATGGCTGACCCTCACTGTACACCTAACCAGACAGGGAAGGGCTGAGAGAAATGATGAAGGGTCTCAGAAGAAGGGCACTAACCACCAAAACTCCCAGGAAATTATGGACATTTGAAAGTGGTTCATGCTGCATCAGAGACTCTTTCCTATTGTCCAATGGCAAATAAATTAATGTCACAGAAACTATTTGCCTTTCCCAGGGGGAAAGCTTTGGTTGCTATCTCTAAAAACAATGGGAAAATTGCAAAAACAGTAACATAAGACTACAATTTGAATGAGACCATGTAATTCCAATGAGCTGGGGCCGTTAAAAAGATGATGGTACACTGGTTGGCCCTTCCCTCTGCTCTCAGGGATGCCAAGATACCACGTGTTGTTAGCACAGGCTTAGCCAGAGAGGATGCTTGGGTATGTTGATTCCTTTTATCCACTGCACCCTGCGGGGCACAGCTCAGCAGCAGGGAGCCAAATAGCATACAGCCCAGTGGATGGGACACAGCCCATTTCCACCCCAGAGCTGCCACCTCACACTTCAGAGCCACCCAACCCAAAGCCCAATGTCTTTGTAGCTTCACATCGTCCATTTTCTGGAACTATGGGATGCTCCCTACCCTGTGGGATTGTTCTCTGCCCTCTCGGTACTTCACTCTCTGAGAAGTCTGGGGCCCTTATACGGGGCTCCGAGAAACAGTCACATGCTAGGGAAGCATTACTTTTTATGGCTCTAAGTGCTTCTGACTGAATCCAGTCCCTGATAACGTTGGCCTCTCAGAGCTGTTCTTCCCTGAAGCTCAGCCTGTTCTGTCTCGCAGAGCTGACATTCTCTCTCCAGCACAGGAGGCACTGTGAACGAGCTGCCATGGCTTGAGGTCAGCAAAAATCCTTTGTCCCCAGTTGGTTTTCCATCCTTTCCCTCTGCATCCCCCCTGCCTGGCTGGTTTCCATGAAGAGATCAGCTGGTTTCCACTGAAGAAGTGTCTGCCTGCCTGGGCCACCATGGGGAAGAGTCTGATTAAGATTCACACCAGAGTCCGAGTTCAGCTCCGGTTGACTAATCACTGCCTTCGGCCACTGAGTGTGCGCATCGTGAGGATGGGGCCCCGGCTCCAGGGTAGGCTCCTGACCACTGTGCCCCCCCGCCCACAGGAAGCCACCTCTGGGCAAGGCAATCAGCTGGAGCACATCCAAGGTAAAAAAGACTCCTCTGTTTTGCTGTGCCATTTGCCAGCTCCCACCCATGGTACCCACCCTGTCCATCCCAGAATAACGGGCTTGATGAAGGGGTGGTGGTTTCTAGTGAACCTGAAGTTCTATACAAGACTAGCCTGACACAGCAATAATAACCTTACAGGTGAGGTCTGTTGAGGGAGCAGAAAACTAACACTGAGCAATTTTGTCTGTCAAGCAATTTACTAGAAATGCATACATATCCATTATCTTATTTACTGAGAGCACCAACAACTTATAATGTGGTTTCTGGTGTCTGTCTGATTTGTTCTCTCTGATGTAACAGCCTTTGCCTCTCTCCTTCCCCAGCAAGCTTAGGGCTGAATTGTAGGCCAAGCTAAGTTTGCGCTGAAGTGGCTTCTGGTAGCTAAGCTGGTTGTGCTTTGGAAGATCTGGTAGAGTTGTCTCTGTGAGGAGACAGCCTTTAGAAAGATTATGAGGAGCCCTGTACAGGGGGTGCTGAGGTTCCAGAGGAAGGAGGGTGGAGGAGTGGGTGGGAAAGGAGCTGAACCAACACATGTGTGATCAGGGCCTAAAGGTCTCTGTTCTATCAGGGACTCATTACATACTACCAGGTATATATTCCTCATGCTGCTTATGCAAATGCAGGAATAAGGGAGAAAAACGGGGGCGGGGGGGAGATCAAAGGAGCATCAAGAGCTCTGGAACAAGGGGCGAACTCTTAATTTCACATTATTTCACAACAGTTTCTTGGGCAATTGGGACCTAAATCTAAGGCAGGTGTAGGCTGTAGACTTAATTCATCCTGGCCCAAAATCTAACTACATGATCATTAGCATCAGGAAACAGGCTTGCAGTCTATCCTTGCCTTTCCCATTACCAACCAACCACATGTCATTAGGCAAGCTCTGTAACCTCTTGCCTTCACGACTTCGTGGAAAGATGAAAGCACTTTAAAAAGTTTAAAACATACAAACTTAAGATTTTAGCACAGGGGAAAACAAAATACAACTAGGACCATGAGGAGCTCCTGAAAGCAGAAGCTGAGAGCTGTAGCAAATACACTGATGATGAGGTGATGGGGAGTATAGGTGGACAGCAGGGGGCTGCTGTTGCCACCCCAACCCACCCGTTTATAACCCAGGGTTTGTTCCCCTGGAGAACCCTTAACTGCACCTATGCTGAAATGGGCTCCAGCAGGCTAGGCAGGCAGGCAGGCTGCCTGGGTACACAGGGCTACACCACAAGAGAACCAAATGAAACTCAATACTTCTGAAAGGTTACTGCCACCTTTAAAGAGAGACCCTTGGGCTTCTGAAGCTAGCCCTGAACTGAAAAACTCCCTAATCAGCCCTAGTTAGGTCAAACCTTTACAGAGCTGGGAACTGGTTCAGTCTTGCAGAAGTCAGGGTCAATTTCAGAGCAATGGAAGGGGGACTGGCTTCTCTTGCCATTGGCCACAAATGCAGGGACAGCCAGAGCCACTCTGGCACCCCCAAGGTAGCCAGGAATGGGGGCGCCTGGGTGGCTCAGTCGGTTGAGTGTCTGCCTTCGGCTCAGGTCATGATCCCAAGGTCCTGGGATCGAGCCCTGCATCAGGCTCCCTGCTCAGCAGGGAGCCTACTTCTCCCTCTCCCTCTGCCTGCCTCTCTGCCTACTTGTCCTCTCTGTCAAATAAATAAATAAAATCTTAAAAAAAAAAAAAAAAAAGTAGCCAGGAATGGAAAATGCAGACATTGAACCTGAAACAAGAAGCCATTTCCTTGAGAGCACTGTGATGTGGGCCATACTTGGTGACTCTGGGCCCACATCCTCCGGCCTAGTGGCTGCTGTTTACTTCACAAAGTAACCAGCTCCTGTTTTTCACTACCAGAGATTGAGCCGTGGAAAGACAGAAATGTTCCATCTGAGAAAGAAGAGAGATAATGGGTAGTTTTAGGGGGCAGAGGACCCTTCCCCAGAATGGATGTAGGAGAATTTCCACCCTGACCCAACAAGATCTTATCAGAGACCACTCTGCACTCTTGAGTGTGTAAAGACAGGGGAATTGTCAGCCTCCTGTGGACCCAGCTCATTCTAAGGTGAAAAGAAAGAGAGCTAGCCAGGGGCTATTCCCTTCTCCATCAGAGACCACTTAAGGAAGAGCAGATAGGGTTTTCACATCCCCTAAAATCAGGACAGCTAGAAGTGGGAGGCTGAAGAGACCAGCAGCAGCGATCCAAAAGATGACCTCATGAGCTCAAGGAGCTGCCTGCTGGGTTGTTAGAAGGACATGCAGCTCCAGAATCAGTATTTGATGAGGCCCAGTAAAGCAAAACAATCTTCTCCCCATTCCTGCCTCTCAAGGCACTCAGCCCAAGAGGGAGACTTGACCTCCCTGAACTGTGGCCCCAGCTCTGAATCAGGGATAGTCTGTGATTCAGATTGTCTTTCAACTGGGGCTAAAACCAGGCCCAGGACATCAAAAGCCAGAAAGGCAGAATCTTTAACAAATCTTGCCAAAACCCTAAGTAAAAAGAAAAAAAAAACCTTCCAACCACAGCCACTCTCATGTCTGCTGCTGCTTTTATCCTATTCCTGATACATCAAAACGGTGTAGTGGCCACTGCTGCTGATCACATGGGCTGTGCAGAAGGACTTCCTTGCAAAATTTTAGTAACAACCTAAAACAGAATGGGTGTGCCTCCACCAGACAGCAAAGTGTGCACTGGGACCCAGAAAGCCTACTCCTATTCCTTTTGCCTTTGCAGGCCTGGAGTCCCTACGGGACAGTGCCCATTCCACCCCAGTGCGTTCTTCCTCCCATGGGGACACCTTCCTGCCTCACGTGAGAAGCAGCCGGGCAGACAGCAATGAGCGAGTCGCTGTGATTGCAGACGAAGCCTACAGCCCTGCAGACAGTGTGTTGCCCACCCCTGTGGCCGAGCATAGCCTGGAGCTGATGCTGCTTTCCCGGCAGATCAATGGGGCCACCTGCAGCATCGAAGAGGAGAAGGAGTCTGAGGCCAGCACTCCAACTGCTGCAGAGGTGGAGGCTCTTGGGGGAGAGCTGAGGGCCCTGTGTCAGGGGCACGGCAGGCCAGAGGAGGAACAGGTGAATAAGTTTGTTTTAAGTGTCCTCCGTTTGCTCCTTGTGACCATGGGACTCCTCTTTGTTTTGCTCCTCCTCCTGATCATCCTTACTGAGTCTGACCTTGACATTGCCTTTTTCCGCGATATCCGCCAGACCCCCGAGTTTGAACAATTCCACTATCAATACTTTTGTCCCCTCAGGCGATGGTTTGCCTGCAAAATCCGCTCAGTGGTGAGCCTGCTCATTGACACCTGAGAAGGCATGACTCCTAATAACTAGCCAGGTGGACCAAGGAGCCTGGCTACCCATTCCCAGCAATGGGACCCATCGCGGAACCATCGGCACATGTACCAAGTCCTCCTCTCATGACTCAAAGTCCACAGCCTAGGAGGGTCATTTCCCAGAAGAAAAAAAGGATAGGCTCATGCCCTGTCTAAACAAACTGGGAAAACTCATTTCCTTCAGAGGTTCTTTCAAGAAAGGCTCAGCGACTCTGTTTCTCATCCTCCCAATTTGCAGGATAATTTTTGGTTTTGAATTTTGATTTTTCATAGATGTGTATTATTTTCAGAGTATCAAATAAAAATTTATTTTACTATTACTGATTATCGCAGTAGTGTCACCTAGCAGATGGGACACTAGCTGAAGACTAGAGAGCTGTTGTCTTCTGTATTCTGCAGGAGCTTTCCTACTGGGCTCCAGGAGACTCAGCAGTGCAGCCTCAGCAGGGCAGGCCAGGGGTCTGGACAATGGGAACTATCTAGGTTTTCTTGCCAGACAGAGATTTTTAAAAAGTAAACATCCATATAGAATGATTAAATGGAAAGTTGCTTCTTATGATGGTCTGAGTTGGATTTTCTTTTCCTTTTGTTTTTTCCAAATCTGAGCAGAGTGGGCATCTGAAGGGACCACCGCTACAGCAGCAGCAGGAGCAGGGGTGGGGTAAGTCTGTCCCCTTAGACTAGATCCTAGTGGGCATCACCATGAGTTTTGTATAATGAACTTATTAGACTTCTGTGATTTTTTTTTTCCTGAAGAACCTCAAGATTTTTATAGTGCTCCAGAGACATTAGTTGAATTCAGTGGTGCCAGAGACAGGACTGTCAGAAATGTTGGACAAAGTGTAGTTAACAGAAACCAGAGCCAAGGTACCTGAGAAACTGTTGAGATTCAGAGAGCAGTACCTATTTTGTACAACCCCCACAAAAAAACTATTTCAATTTATATTTTAACAACAAATGTTATTTTCTTATCAATTCATATTTTGTTTTTACTTTATGGATTAAGAAAATAGAGCCTGATGAACTAAATGATGCAAGAAAGAAACTGATCCTGAGAATGAAAAGCTTCAGAAAATAGAATTCCAAGATCAACAAACAGCCTTGGAAGGGACCAGGAAAAGAATCTAAATAGGCATACTAAAAGATGCCTACGAAAGAAAGAAGGTGAATGTGGCAGAGACCAACACTTAGATGTGGAAATACTGCCCCCTAGGGTCATCCTCTGCATCAGGAAAATAAAAATTGTAGGAAAGCATTTGCCATCCTTGCTGAGGGAAGCTGTGGAAGCATACAAAAGCACAGCATGTGAAGGGTGAGTGTGGGGTCCAAGGTCCAAGCTCTGCAACTCTTAACAACCACTTATAAGATCTTGTTTTCATCTCAGGGAGAGATTTCTAAGTCATCTGGGGCCTGAGGACTCATTTAAGGATGGTCAGTAGACCTATTCCTGGGAACCCCACAACAGTGGAGCCGCTGCTAACATCCTATGATGTTGGGCAGCCCCAAATGCAGAACAAAATGAGTCACTTGTAGATTTGCTCTCCCCTAGTTTGTGCCCTGAAATAGCAGAATCATGCCCATATACAGAGTATTAACAGCTGCTGAATTAACAGGGGTGCGGGGTGGGGGAGTGGATTGTGTAATTTTAAATGCCCTTTCATCTAGACCACGGGTTGGCAAGCTGCTTCTGTAAAGTGCCAGATAATATTTTTTATTTTGGTTTTGTAGGCCATACTCTGTGGCAACTACTCAACTCTGCTGTGATAGCACAAAAACAGCCATCCATAGGTAATACATAAACAAAGGAGTATGGCTGTGTGCCAATAAAAGTTTATTTTAGGAGCTGAATTTGGACCACAGGCCGTAATTTGCCAACCCCATCTAGACAATAAAAATGCTCCTTACCAGTAGGTATGTTAGCAGAAAGAGGGCCGGCTCTGCTCCCATTCCCTACTTGCTACAGATCCAGGACCATTTCCCAGTGGAGATACTGGGGTTGCTTGTATAAAGGGTGCTTGAACAACCAACCAGCAAAGAGGTATCTGATGCCAAGATGAGCAAGATCAAGTGTTGAAATGCTAAAACTCGGCCAGAATCTAAGAATGGAAGAGGAATGTCTGATCATTTCCATACCAGCAACAATTTGGGCAGAATTACAAACATCTATTTACCAAGTGACAAGACAAACTGAGGGAGATCCTAGTAAAAATTAGGGATCATTAGAACCAACTAGCCACTGCCACTTGTCATCTACACAGGAAAGGCTTTACTTAGCACAGGACGGAAATGAAAAGTAGACTCAGAGATGAAAAGGCTGTCAGGAGATAGGGGGCTGGTTGTAACCTGGATATCTACTGTCTTATGCAACATAGCAGATTATCTTTTAGTGTAGTGTTCCTACCTCAGTCTGTAGAATATGGTGTTTCTATGCAGTGAGTGATAGCCTTGACACTGACCTTTCATAGTCACATTAAAGAAAGATGCAGTATTCCATTTCCTGGTATGTTACTTGTGTCTAGAGTTCTAACAATACAATAGTCCATACCACTTCCAGGAGCTGGATTTTGCTCTCTGAACAGAACTTTTGGGTTTTTTCCAGGGCTTACCCCAGAAAATACAGATAGTAAAGTTTCCTTTGATTTGCTTTTCAAATAGTGCTTGAATAACAAAACTCCTTTGTTGGTGACTAGTCTTTTTTTGGTCTCTCCCCATCATTAAACATTGTTCAAATTTTTAACCTGGTTTTACCGTGTTCCACTATGTCTCCCATTTTCTCTCAAAATTAGTTTGATCTCACTGTAAGAAAAAAAAACAATGGTTTCCATAGCTTCATCCATCAGAGTGAAATAAAACTCTTACTAAAGGATAGTGTACTGCATCTTTAAGCAGTAGAAGGTAAACTACCTGCAAATGTGAATTTCTTAGTTTCATTAAAAAGTATAGTTGTTAACCTCTCGTGTGCCAAAAATTCTAAGTTACATTTTCCTTCAAAGCAATGTACTTTTTTCTACATATGCAGTATGTAGTTAGCATAAAATCATTGGTGCCATGAAAATTATTTTTAAAATTAAATAAATATTTAAATATCATGGAAGAGTGGACTCTTTCTTTTTTAACTTACAGCTTTTCTCACTTTTTCTTCCTTAAAGTTACCAACACATAGATAAAAAGATACCCAGGGGGATTTATACAACTGACTACTGTTCATGACTAGAATCATTTAAAATAGTCATTTGGCTTATATCCATCTATTATCCTTGTCCCTCCCCCCAAATAAATACTATTAAGAACGTGGAAGCTGTAATAATGGAATGATTTTAGAGATGAACTGGACCTCATTCTTCTCATGAGGAAAACCAAAAAGTGATTTTTCTGAAGGTTACAGAGTTAGTCTTAGATACCAAAAGTAGATCCTAGATGGTCCAGGGTTCCTGGCTGGCTCAGTAGGTAAAGCATAAGACTACTGATCTCAGGGTTGTGAGTCTGAGCCCTACACTGGGTAAAGAGATTAGGCACATGAGTCTGTCCTCCCCCCTTCCCATGTACTGTAACTGGCTGAAAAGATTTAAATCTGTTTGGGGGCGCCTGGGTGGCTTAATCATTAAGCGTCTGCCTTCGGTCATGATCCCAGGGTCCTGGGATTGAGCCCCGCATCAGGCTCCCTGCTCTGCGGGAAGCCTCCTTCTCCCACTCCCCCTGCTTGTGTTCCCTCTCTCGCTGTTTCTCTGTCAAATAAATAAATAAAATCTTAAAAAAAAAAAAAAAAGATTTAAATATTTGTATTCACAGCCCTCAAGCTCCCTGTTTTCCTGGAGAACTGCCTTTGCAAAGTCATCTCTGTGGAACAGAAACTCAAAGACCTGAATACCAAAACAGGACTGAATCAACTCAGATTTTATCAATTCTAGATCATTTGTAGTCTCACCTACCTGTCCACCTATGACGAGAATCATCTCCTTCCTCCTTAAAGTCACATAAGAAAGGCTGGGCATCTCAAAGAAAATGATTCAAGTGGAATACAGAGCTTACATGCTTAAGGGATATCATAAAGCACAACCTAAAAAAAAGGTTTATCCCAAAAAGAGAGAGCAATTGTAATATACAAATAATTACAGAAGCCACACAGTTTTAAGCAAGTCTCTGGGAGAATACCTTTCACAACAGATTACAGTTTAAGGATGTCCTAAGGGAGACAATTTTACTTTACGTGTTTTCTAGATTTAAACAATTACTCCATTATAGAGCTTTTCACTGAGAAACAAGTCCCCCCACACTCTCCTTCCTTCCTGCATATTGCCTCAAGAAGACAGTCTATTAAGTGGAATTAAATATAAATAGCACAGTTTATAAAGCTAAAATGGCAAAAGAAACCACAAAAGTGAGAAACATCAAGAATATGCTAACATTTATTGCAGAAACCAGGCAATTACGACCAAGTATTCAAAGCTTAAAGGATGGTGCTAATTTCAATATCGTTAAAAAAAAGAGTTCTCACAGAAGTTGCCACCCTGGAACCTGTGAACTGAAGTGGTATCAAAAAGGGAAAGGAAGCCTAGAGGCTTCATTTACCATCTCCAGGGCAGTTTAATAGAAGTCAACCTCACTTAGCTTTACTTTCCATTTCATAAATTAATGTTCCATTTCACTTACCAATTCCTATACGCCTATCATCAAGAAAATAGAGAACTCTTGTTACTTATAAACACTCACAACCTACTTAATAAACTAGGCCTCAAAATTAGACTTAACCTCTCATTACAGAGAAGGAAATTATACATGTCATTTTATTTCTGTGATATATAATTTGAGAAGATATTTCCTCTTAGAATTCAAACATATTGCCAAAAACGATTTACAATAGTCTTTCAGTAGTAGTTTGGCAATGAAGAGCAATGAAAAAAGTCGGATAGGTGCTATCACACGGTAATGTTAGTCACTGAGTTAAGAAGCTACCCTTCCAACAACAAACACATTCACATTGCCCTAACTTCTGGGGAAAAAAAAAAGTTTATGACAAAATGCCAAAAGTGGTTTATCAAAACATTTCCCCCCAGTATGAATTAGGAATGAAGGTATTCACTTAATAGGCTAATGAATCTCCTCTGGAGAGTTTAAAGACAGGGACAGAAAAGGGTGTCTGGGACCTTCTAAGGCAGGAGCTTTCACTTCTTTAACTATGACCCACAGTAGTACCACAGTAATAAAGACATATGTTTTACATCAGAATATACATATGCATATACACTTACATATATGTATGCACATATTACTAAGTTTCACAAAACAACACTTACTCTAATTACATTTATTATTCTTTACTATTTCTTTCCTTTTCCTTTTTTTAAAGGCTGGTCATGGCTACACTGATTTCATGTGAATAGCTACAAACCACAGTCTGGAAAACACTGGTCTGAAGGCAATCTCACACTGGATTACAAGGGTCAGGCAGATCAAAACCCTGTTCCTAGAAGCCCTACAATTCCTTGGCTCATGCTTCAGGAGCCATCTAGAGGAGGTAAAAGGGTCAGCACACAAAGACCCAGGCCCCTGTCCAAGTGAACTAAGGCTCCTCAACAATTATCTTAAGATTTTACTTTTAATTTAAAGGCAGGAGGGGGGGAAAAAAAAGAGTTCTCCATTAAAAAAATTAAGTTCCAAAATCACTAAGTTAGATGACCTTTCAGGATCCCTTCCAGTGTGTAAGTCTACAAATATTCACTCCAAACCATGAAATAAACCACAAATCCAAATATCACTACAGAATCAAAACCATATCATTAAACCAAAAAAACTTTTAATACTGATCAAAGCTTTGTAATTTATAATGCCAGAATTTCTCAACATACTGCCTGATTAAAAGTGCTGAAGGCATCACAGCCTCCTCTCAAATTCTTTCCCCACCCTAAAGAAACAACTTAAAAGGCTTCTCCCTTACTAAACATGTTAAGTATGTAACTGTATACATTCTGCTCACAGTTCTTATTAATAAAGCAATTTTATATTCACTAAATAGAACATATTAAAAACAGGCCAAGCCACATGAATTACTAGGCTCCTTAGACACTGATTAATTTGAACAAATTGGTGTTGCTAAACCAAACACTCAGCAGCTTTCTTAATTCATAAAAACATGTATCTTCCCACTGGAATTACCTCCAGCCAAAATATACCGAGTTGGGTGCATAGTGTTGATGGAACACACAGAGACAAGGCATTCTCCACCAAAAAAAGAATGCACCTGCTTTCCTGTCTCATGGAAGATTTCTACCCGTCGTGGATGAGCCATGCTGCCAACTATGACACAATCTTCTTGTTTAGGGTCCCACACAGCCTGGAATCTGGTCAGCCATCGCCCAGTGATAGTGTTGTGCCTAGTGAAAAAAACAATTTTTTTAAAGGATAGCGTTAAGGGGCGCCTGGGTGGCTCAGTTGGTTAAGCGACTGCCTTCGGCTCAGGTCACGATCCTGGAGTCCCGGGATCGAGTCCCACATCAGGCTCCCTGCTCAGCGGGGAGTCTGCTTCTCCCTCTGACCCTCTTCCCTCTCGTGCTCTCTGTCTCTCATTCTCTCTCTCAAATAAATAAATAAAAATCTTTAAAAAAAAAAAAAAAAGATAGTGTTAAATAACTTAAGGCAGCAATAGGCAGAGGGTAAACATGGCATTGCTCCTAAATGCTGGTTTTCTCTGCCAAGTTTCATTTCATTAAGTTACTGAGTTACCATCAGCCTAATTTCATCCTTCATATAAAAGTAAAAATCAGGACAGAGATGGTATCTTCTGTACTTCTGAATCTCCACTGCCAACTACAGTGGTTGTACTCAGTGGATGGTCACTGTCTATTAAAATAGCACCTGGGGTGCCTGGGTGGCTCAGATGGTTAAGTGTCTGCCTTTGGCTCAGGTCATGATCCCAGGGTCCTGGGACTGAGTCCCGCATCAGGCTCCCTGCTAGGCGGGGAGCCTGCTTCTCCCTCTGCCTCTGCCTCTCTCTGTCTCTCTCTCTGACTCTCATGAATAAATAAATAAAACATTTAAAAAATAATAATAAAATAAAATAGCACCTTTTTGGTTCACTATTTCTTAGCTCAATGGACTCCATGCCCTCCCTTTTTTTACACATACAAAACAGAAGAAGCCCTAGAAGTAAAAAATATAGAATCTATGTTATTGCCATTTTAATAGGATCTGTAATCCCATATTTGTATTCCCCTGATAACCAAACCCTGAAATCATTTTATATTCCATACAACTTTAAAGTAAAAAATACATTTGGGGCTCAAAGAAGAAATCACAATGGAAATTAGAAAAGATCTAACAAATGAAAAATGAAAACATACCAAAATTTATGGGATGCTATGAAAGCAATAGTAAGGGGGAGATTTATAGCAGTGAATACTAAAAAAGAAAAGATCTCGGGGTGGTTGTGTGGCCAGTTAAGCGTCCAACTCAATTTCTGCTCAGGTCATGATCTCAGGGTGGTGAGATCAAGTCCCTTGTCAGGCTCCACCCTCAGCAGGGAGCCCGCTTCTCTCCTTCTCCCTCTCTCCCCACTCGTGCTCACTCGCTCTCTAAAATAAATCAATCTTTTTAAAAAAGGCGGGGCATGGGTGGCTCAGTCAGTTAAGCATCTGCCTTCGGCTCAGGTCATGATACCAGGGTCCTGGGATGGAGACCCACATCGGGATCTGCTCAGCAGGGAGCCTGCTTCTCCCTTTCACTCTGCCTATCTGTGTGCTCACCCTCTCTATCAAATAAATAAAATCTTTTAAAAATTAAAAAATAAAAAGATCTCAAAATCAACACACTACACCTCAAGGAACTAGAAAAAGAACAACCTAAACCAAAAGTTAGCAGAAGGAAGGAAATAATAAAGATTAGAGCACAGCTAAATGAAAGGAGAACAGAAAAACAAGACTTGGTTTTTTGAGAAGATCAACAAAATTGATAAGCCCTCACCCAGATTGAAAAAAAAAAAGAAAATGCAAGTAACTGAAATGAGAAATGAAAGAGAGGATATTACAACTTACAAAAATAAAAAAGGATTATAAGAGAATAGTATAAACAATTATATGCTAACAGATTGGTTAACCCAGAAGAAATGGATAGAATTCTCAAAAACATACAATTTACCAAGACTGAATCATGAGGAAATAGAAAATCTAAATAGTCCTATAACTAAGGGGATTAAAACAGCAATCAAAAACTTCCCAACAAAGAAAAAGCCCAGGATCAGACATCTTCACTGGAGAATTCTACCCAACATTTAAAGCATTAACCCAGGGGTGCCTGGGTGGCTCAGTTAAGCATCCAACTCTGGATTTTGGCTAAGGTCATGATCTCAGGACTGTGAGACTGAGCCCCACATCAGATTCCACTCTGGGTGTGGAGCCTGTTTAAGATTCTCTCTCTCCCTCTCCCCCTCCCCCGATCCGCCCTCTCTCCCTAAATAAATAAATAATGCCAATGCTCATCAAATTCTTCCAAACAACTGAGGATAAGGGAACACTTCCAGACTTATTTGAGGCCAGCACTACTGATACCAAAGCCAGACAAGGACCCTACAAGAAAATTAAATTACAGACTAACATCCCTAATGAATACTGATACTGACAAAATACTAACAAAATGAGGCTCCCTGCTCAGCGGGAAGCCTGCTTCTCCCTCTCCCACTCCCTCTGCTTGTGTTCCCTCTCTCGATGTGTCCCTCTCTCTCTCTGTCAAATAAATAAAATCTTTCAAAATAAATAAATAAATAAATAAATAAATAAAAATACTAATAAAATGAGTTCAATAGCGCATTTAAAGGATTATACACCATAACCAAGTTGGATCTATCCCTAGAATGCAAGGATGATTCGACATACAAAACTCAATTGACAGAGTATACCACATTAACAGAATAAAGGACAAAAACAATATGATCATCTCAATTGATGCAGAAAAATCATTTAACAAAATCAATACCCTTTCATGATAAAAACATTCAATGAACTGGAACAGAAGGAAACTATCTCAACATAATAAAGGCTATATATGAAAAGCCCACAGCTAACATCATACTCAGTGGTTAAAGACCGAAAGCTTTTCCTCAAAGATCAGGGAAAAGGCAAGTATGCCCACTCCTGCCATTTCTATCCAACATACTATTGGAAATCTGGAAGGACTAGAGACACTAATCTAAATTCCAGGTGTTGACAACTGCACAGGTAGCCAGATCCTGCATGTGAGGCATCGCCATTATACCAACAAGGATTTGATAAGGGGGACATTCTGAGCAATCACTTGATAACCAATTGGACAAGAAAAAGAAATAACAGGATTATAACAAACTCAAAAACTGTGCACCAAAGGAAACAATCAACAGAGTGAAAGACAATCCACAAAACAGCAGAAAATACCTACAAATCATATATTCAGTAAGGGGTTAATATGCATAATATGTAAGGAACTCCTACAACTCAAAACAAAAATGACCCAATTCAAAAGTGGGCAAGACTTGAATAGACAGTTCTACAAAGAAGATATATAAATGGCCAAAAAAAAAAAAAAGAAAAAAAAGTGCAACATCACTAATCATTACAGAAATGCAAATCAAAACCACAATGAAGTATTACCTCACAACCATTTAGATAATCACTAATAAAAGAGCAGAATGACGAACATAAAGAGAAATTAGAACCCTGATGCATTGCTGGTAGGAATGTAAAATGGTGCAGCCCCTACAGAAAAACAATATGGAGGTTCCTCAAAAAATTAAAAAATTCCTCTTCCTGGGTAATATCCAAAAGAATTCAAAGCAGGATCTTGAAGAGATATTTGCACACCCATGTTCATTGCAGCATTATTTACAATAGCGAAGAGGTAGAAACAACCCAAATGTCCATCGACAGATGAATGGATAAAGAAAATGTGGTATATACATACAATGAATATTACGCAGCCTTAAAAAAGGAGGAGGTCACATGATAGAACATAAGTGAACACTGAGGACATGATGTCGAGTGAAATAAGCTAGTCACAGAATGACAAATACCATGTGATTCCACTCACATGAAGGATCTAAAGTAGTTAAAATCACAGAAATGTAAAGCAGAAAGATGGTTGCCAAGGTCTGGAAGGGAGGGAGAAGGAAGAATCAATGCTTACTGGGCATAAAGTTTGAAAAAAGAAATGAAGATGGGAAAATTTGTAAGAAAGGAAACAAACACACTTAAATGTAGCCTCCATAGACTATAAAATGTATGATGTAACAATCAACATATATTGCACACTCTGGTCCCAACTTCATAAATACTGATAAAGAGGTATGTCTAGAAGAAGGCACTGACAAAAGTTGGATGTAAAATACATACATTAAAAGTAGTAGATGCAAAAGAGGGTAACCAGAGAAAGTAAGTGGGAAGGTAGGGAAACCCTTTAAGGCCACAACAAACAGGTACAAACAAAAGAGCTTTAGATGGCCTCACAGCAGGTAAGAGGTTACAATCTTCTTTAATAAGATAACATGAGTAATTCAAGTTGGAATAAAGTCATTCACCTTAACCAAAAATAACCACCCAGCTGCAAAGAACAACTACCAACTAAAAGGGACTGAACCCTTTAAAAGATACAGGGAACCTGGAAGCAAGAACCCTTCTGGAACTAGGATAGGAACTAGCAACCTGGGACATTTAAACAGTGTAATACAAAAATTCAAACCTATTACATCTCTTTGACAATCAGATGTCTAATGTGTGCACTCCAACATATAGCTAATAGCAATCCAGGGTCTACATTATTCAGCATATGGAAACCTACCTGATGGTAGTGAGCAGAGGAATCTCAGAGGATATACAGCTGCTGTCAAAGATTCTGCAAAACAAAGATCAAGAACAAAGTAACACCCTTTTTACTGTTTCTTAAAAATTTTCCGAAAGAAAATCAGTGTATTTAACAAGTTTTTCATTGGTTCATGACATGAAATATGATTGCTACTTTAAAATATATAGAATCAGGATTTAACAAGCTTCAGCTAATATATTTAACAAAAATTACAAGAAATATCATAAAATTCAGTGCTTTATAGTTTGGTATAGAAATAATTTATTTAAACACTATTATCCCAAATTTAAAATGCACATTATAAAGTGATAATCTGGATTCTATATTGAGATTCACAATAATTATAGATCATATATAAAGGGATGTGGTCTGAAAATGTACAAATAACCTAAAAGTTTTTGCACATATCAAGAGCAATTTCCCCATGAGACTCATTAGTTGAGGGACTGAACAGTGTCATTTCCAGATGCTGGCAAGACTATGACTGACCAGTAACCACGGGGAGGAGTTCTTGTGGGGTAGCTCAAAGAGTCTAGAAGCCTCCACTAGGTGAAGAAACTAACCACATCACACCACCTCCCCCTTCTTCTTGCACCTAGCAATTCCAGTATAGTTTCTTGGCACCTACAGCTTATTGCCTAATTAGATTACTAGAAAGCTAAATCACTAACAGCTAATGTAAACTCTGCAGTGCAAATGAACAGGAATGGTTAAAATTGGTAGCTTCTGAGACAAAGAAAACTGTATGGGTAGAAAGGGGACAATGCGCTGCCACTGTCTAGTGACTAAATCTCTTAATGTACCCTCCTGGTAATGCTCACAAACTTTACTAGAAATTGGGCATAGTTTCTAGTAAACTGTCACAAAGTGAAGACCATGCTCTTCCCAACAGAAGAGTCTAAACAGAAATTAGATGCCTTTCTAAAGCTTGGCCCATAGTATACATTCAACAGATACTTGCTGAATGAATAATGAATGAACTCCAGAATCACTTACGGTAAAACTCTTATAAAATGACAAATGCTTATAATGCTAAGAAAATCAGGGATTATAGAAGAGAACAAAATCATTTCCTTTGTGGTTGTATTAACTTCTCTACATTTCTTTTATTGTCATTATTTTCTGTTTTTGGTTCAAGTGGTTTATATTACATGTTTAAAGCCATTTTTAGGAAGTAGCTATAGAAAGATACCAAAGCTAAAACCATAAAACTGTATCCAGTCGTTTGTACAGAAGCCCAATTATTACTATCTTTTCTGCCTGCCCATGGCCTGGGGCTCTGCAATTTCCACTGAGCACTTCATGTGTAGGGTAGACCCCACTAGCCCAACCTAAGAGTTTGTCCCTATGTTAAAATTATCTTTCTTCCAACATATCACAAGCCTGGTTTTATTGGGACTTCTGGGACCATTCAGTGCTGAAAGGGAAGCCTGACATCTACCCCCTGGGGTACCTACAGACCTTCCCTGCCAAACTCAAGGAAATTTCCAGACCCCAAAACTGCTGAAAAACCTTTAAATACAGGTTACTGATTTGGCCAGGAACATAGAAAGGGCTACAAAACAATAAAACTAGCAATTTAATAGGGAGCAGTAGTAAACAAAGCTACTGGTTTACACTAGCTACAGACTCTTTAGATTCCTTAACAATGCATTTCTGGGTGGCTCAGCGGCTAAGCGTCTGCCTTCGGCTCAGGTCATGATCCCAGGGTCCTGGGATCCAGCCCCGCATCGGGCTCCCTGCTCTGTGGGAAGCCTGCTTTTCCTTCTCCCACTCCCTCTGCTTATGTTCCCTCTCTAGCTATGTCTCTGTCAAATAAATAAAATCTTAAAAAAAAAAAAAAATGCATTTCTATCTCCCCAATTTACCTCAGCTTACAATCAGCACATGTGGTCACTACTCTGTTACCAGTAAGAGGTGAAAAATAGGCAGAAGCGATGCTCTTTGTGTGTTCAGTCAAAGAAATCAAAGGCTGGCTTCTCCTGGGATTCAGGTGCCTTGTATCATAAATATGAATATCCCTGTAAGCAGAGGAATAATTCTCAGTGTTGCCACAGTACATGTAGTGAGCTCTCAAACAGTGCTGAACACAGACACATAGAATACTCATTACCTTGAAGAACACTCTGATCTGTAATAATTTTACAAACACTGTATAGATAAAAAATGAAATATTAGAAAAATTCCATAACTACAGAATATATATGAAGCCAGTGGATAATACTGAGACAAGATTCTAGTTGGTTTTCCAGTCTCTCAGAAGAAAATAAAAACACGGACCAAGTTATAGGTCACATATAACTTTTTTTTTTTTACAAGTTTTCTTTTTTAACTTTTTTTTTTTTTAAGATTTATTTATTTATTTGAGAGACAGAGAGAGTATAAGCAGGGGGAGAGGCAGAGGCAGAGGGAGAAGCAGACTCCCCCCTGAGCTGGGAGCTGGACATGGGGCTCGATCCCAGGACCTGGAGATCATGACCTGGGCCGAAGGCAAACACTTAACCATCTGGGCCACCCTACAAGTTTTCTTCTCAAAAGACTAGAAGTAAATGAATATGGGGGCGCCTGGATGGCTCAGTTGGTTACGCATCTGCCTTTGGCTCAGGTCATGATCTCAGGGTTCTGGGATCAAGCTACGCATTCGGCTTCCTGCTCAGCAGGGAGTCTGTTTCTGCCCCTCCCCTCTGCTCGTATTCTCTCTCTTTCAAATAAATAAATAAAATCTTAAAAAAAAAATAGTAAATGCACATGTCAAGGAAAACAAAAATGTGTTTTTGTTTTAATACTTTCACTATTCATTAAATCCAAAAGAATCTTTTTTTTCAAAAGAATCTCTCTTTAAAAAAAAATCATACTCAAAAAACCTCAATTGTTGTAGAAAGAAAAATTATTTAGCTATATGGGTATCACAGAAGTCAGTTATCTTTGACATCCAAACTACAGCAGTAGTCCCTCAGGGCACCTGGATGGTTCAGTCGGTTAAACGTCCAACTCTTGGTTTCAGCTCAGGTCATAATCTCAGTCCTGGGATCAAGCCCAGCATCGAGCTCCGCACTCAGCAGAGAGTTGGCTTGAGGATATTCTCTCTCTCTCTCTCTCCCCCCTCCCCCCCACTTGCACTCACTCTGTCTCTAATAAATAAATCTTTAAAAAACAAATAAATAGAACAGTATTCCTAACTTTAAAAGGCATAAATCACAAAACTTTATGAAGAACATACCTCAATCCTGCAGTGATAAAATACTGTCTATGCACTGGGTGGACATGAACAGTTCTTATTTTGCTCAAAGAAGAATTGATAAGTTTCTCGTAAGAAGTTCCAGATGTCCGTCTATCTACCAGTGATATATTTCCATTCCAGTGTCCTACTATTAAAGTGGAGGCATCTTCTCCCAAGAAGTCAAAAGAGGAAAAGCTACTTCTTTCATCTCTATATACCTAAGGATACAAATAACAACCAACGTATAAATTCTTTGGTAAAAAAGTTATAAAACACTTTACCTAATAATTTCATTTATCCTCCCATCATCCCACAGAATGCACAGGGCAAAATGATCATCTTGTTTTACAGAGATGGAAACCAAGGCATTGATCAGCTGTGAGACTCACCTATAATCAAATAGCCCATCCACCCATCTCAGGGTTACATGCCAAATCTCTTAAATCCAATAAACCTCAGCTGCAGATCTATTCTGTGACACTTACTAGGAAATGAACTAAATGTGAATTCCACCCAACTGAAATACCTTAATATACCAAGTAATTTTGCCAACCAAGTCCAAAAATATATGGCCAAATGCTCATCAGTCACTTACTCTTGGTAGAAGTGTAAATAAATAAATAACAAATTTCTGACAACTAATCAGAGTACATGTATCAAAATATTTAATGCTTGTACCCTCTGACCCAATAATTTATCTAAGATATATATAAAGATGCCTACTGCAAGACTGCCTATAATAGCAATAAGAAGCAACCTAAATGTCCACCAAAAGAGACCTGTTTAAATAAATGATGGTACATCTCTACTTTGAAACACCATGCATTGCTAAAAAGAATGAGACAGATTTGTACTATAATCTGTCCATACTACCAAGTGAAAAAAGCAAGTTGCAAAAATGTATATAGTATGAATCCATTAGTGCAAATGAAAAAAACTCTACCTCCATATGCTTGTAAGTATATGCGCACTTTCTGGAAGCATACCTAACCACAATTCTTAACACTGAATCACTAGTTGCTGATCTTTAGTTTTAATAAAAAGTTATATATACTATTATAAACTGAGGTTAACAAATTAATATACCGAAGGCATCACAACCCCTGTACATCCAAAAAAGCCCCAAATAAAACCTGAAGTATTCAGTCAGTATATTAAAATGGCTAAGTGCAGGAGCTTAATTGCAGTGGAGTCAGACAGACCCAAGTGAAAATTCTAGCACTGCCATTTATGTCCCTGAGCAAGCCAATAAACCTCTTTACCTCGTTTTCTCAACTGTTAAATGGGGATAACATTACTTATTTCATAGGGTGTTATAAGGTTTAACAATATATATATAAAGCTCTCAGATTAATGCCTAACACAAGGTAACTGTTCCATCAGTAGTATCAGGGGCACATTACTTATACATGCAACAACATGGATGAATCTTAGAAGTATTATGCTAGGTGAAAGAAGCCAGACATAAAAAACTTCATACCATATGACTCCATTTATTTGACATCTTGGAGAAGACAAAATTATAGGGACAGTAATCATATCAGTGGTTGTCAGGAGTGTGGGAAGGGGGAGGGGACTGACTACAAAAGGTCACAAGGTGATTTTTTGCAGGTGATGGAAATTTTCTATATCTTGATTGTGGTGGCAGTTACGCAGGTGTAAAAAATTTGCCAAAACTCATAGAACCATACACTTAAAAGGATAAATTTTATTGTATATAACTTACACCTCAATAAACCTGACTTTAAATATGTAAGTGGAGAAACTTTATACAACTCAGTACTAAAAAGATAGATAACCCAATTAAAAATGAGACAAAGAATCCAACATTTAGAGAAATCAACAGTTCTCTAAATAAATACAAAGGGCCAATAAGCAGGTGAAAAGACACTCAGCATCATTAATCATTAGGGAAATGAGGGTCAAATCCATAATGGCATATGACTTCATACTCACTAGGATGGCTACAGTCACCAGCAGTAAGTGTTGGCAAAGATGCGGAAAAATTGGAATACTCATATATTGTTGATAAGTATGTAAATAGTGAAGCCACTCTGGAAAACAGTTTGATAGTTCCTCAAAATATTAAACACAGTTACCATATGACCAAGGAACTCCACTCCTAGGTATATACCCAAGAGAAATGAAAGCATATGTTCACACAAAACTTGTAAATCAAAAACAAAAAAACTTGTACATCAATGTCCATAACAACATTTTCAATAGTAAAAAATGAAAACAACCCAAATGTTCATCAACTAATGAATGGATGAGTAAAATGTGGTATATCCATACAGTGAAATATTACTCAGCCATAAAAAGGAATGAAGTAACGACACATTCTACAACATGGATGAACTTTGAAAACATTGTTATGTAAAAGAATGCAGTCACAAAAGACTACAAATTGTGAGATTCCATTTATATGAAATGTCCAGAAAGGTATATACTGCCTGAGTGGCACAGCTGGTTGAGAGGCTGATTCTTGTTTTCAGCTCAGGTCACGATCTCGGGTTCCTGGGATCGAGTCCTGAGTTAGGCTCCATGCTCAGCACAGAGTCTATTTCAGGATTTTCTCTCTCTCCTTTTGCCTCTGTCCCTCCCCTTGCTCATTCATGCACTCCCTCTCAAATAAATCTTTTTTTTTTTTTTTTTAATTTGAGAGAGAAAAAGAAAGATTGAGAGAACGAGTGGGAGGAGGGACAGAGGGAGAAGCAGATTCCCGGCAGAGCAGGGAGCCCGATGCGGGACTCAATCCCAGGACCCCAGGATCACAACGTGAGCTGAAGGCAGATGCTTAATCGACTGAGCCATCCAGGTGCCATCAAACAAATAAAGCCTTAAAAAAAAAAAAAAAAGAAAGACAAACACACACCCAACATCACCCTCACTGGTGAAAAATTGAGTTTTTCATCTAAGATCAGGAACAAGGCAAAGATGTGTACTCTAACCAGTTTTATTCAACATAGTACTGCAAGTCCTAGCACAATAGACAAAAAGAAATAAAAGGCATCCAAATTGATATGGAAAACATAAAACTGTCACTGTTTGCAGATGTCAGGATACTATACATAGGAAACCCTAAAGACTCCACCAAAAAGCTATCAGAAGTAATAAATGAATTCAGGAAAGTTGCGGGATACAAAATTAATATAAAGAAGTATGTTGCATTTACATACACTCATAATAACAAAGTAGCAGAAAGAGAAATTAAGAAAACAATTCCATTTACAATTGTACCAAAAAGGGGTGCCTGGGTAGCACAGTTGGTTAAGTGTCCGACTCTGGGTTTTGGCTCAGGTCGTGATCTCACAGTTGTGAGGTGCTCACTTAGTGCAGAGGCTGCTTGAGACTTTCTCTCCCTCTCCCTCTGTCCTTACCCCACCCCCACTCTCTCTCTCTCAAATAAATAAATAAATCTTTAAAAAAATTGCACCAAAAAGAATAACTAGGAATAAATTTATTTTATTTTATTTTTAAGATTTATTTATTTGACAGAGAGAGACACAGCGAGAGAGGGAACACAAGCAGGAGGAGTGGGAGAGGGAGAAGCAGGCTCTCCACCGAGCAGAGAGCCCGATGTAGGGCTCGATACCAGGACCCTGGGATCATGACCTGAGCCAAAGGCAGACACTTAACAACTGAGCGAGCCACCTAGGCGCCCCTAACTAGGAATAAACTTAACCAAGGACATAAAAGACCTGTACTCTGAAAACTATAAAATGATCAAAGACATTGAAGATGACACAAATGGAAAGATATACCATACTCACAGACTGAAAGAACCAATACTGTTAAAATGTCCGTACTACTCAAAGTAATCTACAGATTCAGTGCAATCCCTATCAACATACAAAAAGCATTTTTCAGAGCTAGAACTAACAATCCTAAAATTTGTATGGAACCATAAAAGAATCCAAATAAACAAAGCAATCTTAAGAAAGAACAAAGATGGGGAGGATCACAATCCCAGATTTCAAGATATATTACAAAGTTGTAGTAATCAAAACAGTATGGTATGGGACAAAAATAGATCAACGGAGCAGAATAGAGAGCCCAGAAATAAACCCATGATTATATGGTCAATTAATCTATGACAAAGGAGGCAAGAATATACAATGGGGAAGACAGTCTCTTCAATAAATGGTGCTGGGAAAACTGGACAGCTACATGAAAAAAATGAAACTGGACCACTTTCTGACACCATACACAAAAATAAACCCAAATGGGGGTGCCTGGCTGGCTCAGTTGGTAGAGCATGCTACTCTTGATTGTGTCATCATGAGTTCAAGCCCACACTGGGTGTAGAGCTTCTTTAAAAATTAATTAATAAATTAATAAAAACTGAAAATGGATTAAAGACCTAAATGTGAGATCTAAAATCATAGAACTCCTTGGGGCACCTGGGTGGCTCAGTTGGTTAAGCAACTGCCTTCGGCTCAGGTCATGATCCTGGAGTCCTGGGATTGAGTCCCACATTGGGCTCCCTGCTCAGCAGGGAGTCTGCTTCTCCCTCTGACCCACCCCCATGCTCTCTCTCTCTCATTCTCTCAAATAAATAAATAAATAAAATCTTTAAAAAAATAAAACCATACAACTCCTAAAAGAAAACATAGGCAGTAATCTCTTTGACACCAGACTTAGCAACATTTTTCTAGGTACGTCTCCAAAGGTAAGGGAAACAAAAGCAAAAATAAAAGAGATTACTGCCTAATTTTGCTAAGTGAAATTAAGTCAGACAGAGAAAGACAAATAGCATGATTTCACTTATATGAAATCTAAAAAACAAATGAACAAAACAAAAAAAGCAGGAACAGACCATAAATAGAACTGGTGATTGTCAGAGGGATTCGGAGGGGTGGGGGGAGAATAGGCAAAATGAGTGAAGGGGAATGGCAGATACAGGCTTCTAGTAATGGAATAAATACAGGAATAAAAAAGGATAAAATGTACAGCATAGGGAATACAATCAATGGTAATGTAGTAGCATTGCATGATGACAGATGGTAGCTACACTTGTGGTGAGCACAGCATAATGTATAGAGTCGGTGAGCCACTATGTAGTACACCTGAAACTAATGTAACATTGTGTGTCAACTATACTTTAATAAAAAAAAATAGTAATACAAAATAAAAGCTTTTACATAAATTAAAAAATAGTAAGAGCAAACACTTACGTGTCTGACTGTATTCTGACCACTTAATTAATCTGCCTCAAGTCATTCAATCCTCATGACAACCCTATGAGGTAGGTACTATTACCATCCCATTTCACAACTAAGGAAATTGATGCACAAAGAGGTTAAATAACTTCCAAGGTCACACAAGTAGTAACAGATGGTCTGGGATTCAAACTTAAGTAGTGTACTTCTAAAGTTTCTATTCCATATCACTTCACCCACTCTGATTGGTATAATAATCATTCATGTGGCATTTCATAAAGAATCCAGAATATCATTTCAAGTCAATATGTAAACACATTAACATTTACCTCTTCAAAAATAGCCCTCGAAAAATCCCCACAGCGTAACGTGCCATCATAGCTCAGTGACAGTATGTGAGCCGGATTCGCAGGTGAGAAGTATAGACAACTAACTGGCTGACTGTGGGGTTGGAAAACATAAACTCCATCTTCTTTAGATTGGTGAGTCTGTAAGAGAGTTGGGAGCAGGGAGAGAGACAAAAACTAGTGAAAAGTAGTAACACTTTCTGTCATTAAACTATTTATGTCTGTATTACATTCAGTCTTTTCTTAGTCTGTAATTATGCCCACCTCATTCAGAAGGTCAGAACTAAAAACTTTCTATTATCACTAAATTACTTTTTTCTAATTTTCAATCCAACAATATTGTCACATTTAACAGTTTCCAGCAACTAGCAAACCAGTTTTCTCATAATGCAGAAGGAAAAAAATTACTGTTTATTATGACTTTAGTTCATGAAATCCTCAGGAAATGAGAAATCTGCTCTTTATTTCACATACAGCATAATTCCCTAATACTAAAAACATATCAATACCATTACTACTTTGCTTCCTCAGCATGCTTCTATAAATCAGTCTAAGCACAATTTTCATAAGGTATTTGGTCCTGACACAAAATGATAATTTAAAAAATATTTTATCCCTGGGGCTTCTGACGACCCTTGATTTCAACTCCGGTCTTGATCTCAGGGTCATGAGTTCAAGCCCCATGTTCTATCCCCTAAATATACCATGAAAAATGCATGTATTTCAATTCCACATTAATATTATTACTACTTCTAGGGATTATCCTTTCCACAACTGGATTACCAATTCCTAAATCATCACTTCTCAGATCTGGATAAGCTATATTCCTATGCCATATGTCATATTATGAATCAGAACTATCATCTCCAAATCTGGCTTAATCTGCTCTGAAATACTCAAGCATTTTTGTTTTCTTCTTTTTTTATTTTAAATTTAAACAGAAGAATTTTTTTAAAGGAAAGAAAGGGAAAAAATTATAATCATATTCACTCATCCTATCCAGAGTTAACCACTGTAAATATCTTCACATACTTGTATATAGCGTTTATTTTTTAGAAAAACAAAACTCTCCATTGTTATAAAAAACCTAAATACAGAAATGTAGAAAGACAATTATTAAAAATCACTCCAAATCCAAAATTACCTAAAATTATCATTAAAATACTAAGCTATTATATCTTTATATGTACTTAAACAGTTAGAATGACAGAGAAGAAATTTAGAAAAAAATAAGACCATGCTACATATGCCATTTTTAATAGTATTAAATTTAACTACACTTCAAAATAATAAAAGAAAATCAGGCTGAAGGAATTTTTGAAGTTTGAGTACAGCTGGGGATTAGGGGCACCAACTCACCATGCAGTTGAACTACATATAACTTTTGACTACCCCAAAACTTAACTACTAATACCCTACTGTTGACTGACATCCTTAATAATAACATAAACAGTCAATTAACACATTTTGTATGTTATGCATATTATATACTGTACTTTTACAATAGAGTAAGCTAGAGAAAAGAAATAATAAAATCATAAGGAAAAGAAAATACATTCACAGTACTGCATTGTTTTTCAATACCGTAAGTTTATGTCATCTGTTTACTAGATAAATCATGTCAGTACCTGTCAATATTATCTTATATGATACAAAACACTGCAGATATTATATATATTACTAACACTAAATATCAAAAATGACAACATGTGAAAAACAAATTCATATTTACTGACAGGTGTAACAACTCATGCATTGATAATAAAGTGGCAATAGGACTGCTTTATGATAGCCTAGTGTAATCAATACAATAGCTTCACAGTAGCCTAGCCTATACACTAATGAATGACTCCCTATAATATGGTATATGGTATTACAGTCATATTCACAAGGCAGTACTGGAAAGTTACTTTTTAAAAAAAAAAAAGCCACATCTGTGATGATAGGCTGATAGTTTCTTCAATAACAAGAGAGAAAGATATACTCTATGGTAATATAATTCTTTGAAAGCAAAATTATAAAACAGAAAGCTAACACATTATTAATTTTATATTAAATACTATCCACCTTATGCCTATGTAAGGAAAGGCTATCCACTTCCATACAAGTCTTGCACACGATGTTCTACACAATGACTACTTAGGCGATGAGGATGATAATGACACAAAAATGTCTCATATACTTCTTGCTTATAGTTGTACAGTTACTAGATTTTCACATGAAGACAGACACATATACAACAGATAAATTTATTTTATTTTTTCAAAGATTTTATTTATTTGAGAGCATGAGAGAGAGAGAGAGAGAGAGACCACGAGAAGGGGGAGGGGCAGAGGGAGAAGCAGGCTCCCTGCTGAGCAAGGAACCCGATATGGGACTTGACCCCAGGACCTTGGGATCATGACCTCAGCCGAAGGCAGACGCTTAACTGACTGAGCCACCCAGACATCCTACAACAGATAAATTTATTAACTGTACAGCAGGATGACTATTTACTAAGTGGAATGGATCATCATAAAGGTCTTCATCCTCACTGTCTTTACGCTGAGTAGGCTGAGGATGAGGAAGAGCTGGGCCTTGCTGTCTCAGGGGTGACAGCAACAGAAGAGGTGGAGACGGTAGATGGAGAGGCAGGAGAGGCAGGCACACTGAGTGTAACTTTATGGAGTACATCATAATTTCTGACTTTTTTGTTTTTTCGTATCTCTAAAAATATTTCTATACATATAGTACCAATTCTTCTACCATTTGCTTTAGTTACAGTGCCCATACCACAGAAGGGTCCATGTTGTAAAAGTCAAAAGCAGCCCTGAATAATCAAAATGCTTCTGCCAGATTGACTAATGTCAATTTGTTTTCTAAAACTGCTTCATCATGTGGCACTGGTTCAGAAGCACTCACCTCCAACAAGCATTCTTCTCTTAATTCCTCTCTCTGGTGGGGAGTCTTTTGGCTCTTGAATTCCTCCAAGATCCATATCCTGAAACCCTTCACTCCCACCATTTTTGCCATAACCACAATCTCTTTCATGATTTCCTTGTCTCTGTCATAAATCCTGTGAAGTCATGTACATCTGGACATAGTTTTCTCTAGCAGGAATTTATTCTTTCAGGCTTGTTTTCATGGCTTTTTCTATAACAACAATGGTATCTTCAATGGTGTTATCTTTCTAGACTTTCATGTTTTCTCTGCTGAGGTTCTCTTCCATAGTGTTGACAACCTTTTCTATAGAGTACCATGTGCTATGAGCCTTAAAGGTCCTTAATGACCCCTTGATCTAGAGGTTGAATTAGAGACACCATGTTTGGGGGCAACACTTTCATGCCTTTGGTGTTGGACTCATGGGGTTCTGTGTAGCCAGGGGCATTGTCCAATATCAAAAGAACTTTAAAAGGCAGTCCCTTACTGACAAAGTACTTCCTGACTTCAGGGAAAAAGCATTAATGAATCCAATCCAGAAAAGTGCTCTTGTTTCCAGAACTTCCTGTTGTACAGCCAAGACTGGCAGCTCATGTTTATCTTTTCCCTTCAAGGTTGGGGATTAGCAGCTTTATAGATGAGGGCAGTCCTGATCACAAACCCAACTGTATTTGCACAGAAGAGCAGAGTTAGCCTATTCCTTCCTGCCTTCAATCCTGGTGCTCACTTCTCTTCCTTACTAATAAATGTCCTTTGTGGCACTTTCTTTTTTTTTTTTCCAGAATGCACTTTCCTCTGAATTAGAAACCTGTTCAGGCAGATACCCTTTCTCAGTAATTTTCTTAATGGTGTCTGGGAACTTGTCTGCAGTCTTGGGTCAGCAAATGCTGCTTCTCCTGTTATCCTGACATTTTTTAAGACAAACTTCTTTCTAAAATTATCAAACCATCCTTTGCTGGCATTAAATTCTCCAGCTTTAGATCTTTCACCTTCCATTTGTTTTGTCATATGATGACTTCAATTTTTCTCAAATCATATTAGTCTATAGGTATGTCTTTCTTAGAGCAATCCTATACCCACATAAAAATGGCATCTTCAATACGAGATAAAAAGGTATTTTGCAAAAAGTACAAGGCTTTCCACATCTGCTGGAGTAGCTGCAGCAAGGGCTTTACAAATTTTTTCTTTTTTTTTTTACAGTAGTCCTTATGCTAGATTCATTTATCTTGAAATGCCGGGTAACTGCTGCTACCGACCTCAATTTATAGTATTTATCAAGCAATTCAACTCTTTCCTGTACTGTCCTGAATTTTCTGTTTCTTGGGCGCACTTCCCAGAATCATTAGTGGCACTTCATATGAGTCCTATGGTGTACTCAAGGTGTATAGTATTGCACTAAAGACAATGAAAAATATGCAAGAATCTCGAGAGATCACTTTTTCAGCAATACACAATTTATGGGAGATAAACCGTGCACATGGAGATGACTGGTGTTTCAAGGAGATACTTGCTATAATTAAGCTCACCACAATAGCAACAGAATAGCTAGGAGATTTTTAGAGTAGTACAATAGTATAACAATAATTTTATGCAGTTATGATTTAATACTGCATTTTTACATTTATTTACATTTCTCTTGACTGTGAATGGTGCCACATAGGATCTGTGTTTGCTGAAGATTTGAAAAATGTTAACTTTTTATAAAATAGATTTGTATATATTTTATGGTAGTAAATGAAAAAATAGACTAGTATCTACATGTATTTTATGCATTCATGACACACCTTTTTTAATTTTTTCAGTATTTCTAAGCTACATGGTTCATCTACAAGTTTTTTTCAAATTGTCACAATCTCCAAAAAACTTTCCAATCCGTGTATAAGTGGACCCACACAGTTCAAACCATGTTAAGGGTCAACTGTATTTGTAACTATATCAAGCGATATCCCCTAAAAAGGAAAAAGTATAAAACAAAAGGAGTGGTAGTCATTATGCTTTATTTTTTTAACTATGTCTCAATTTTAGACATTTTCTGTTGATTGAGAGCATTATTTTCATCCCTTCACCAATCTCCCCTTTCTCCATCTCTATTATTTTGTTATATTATTATTTTTATTTTGTCCAGGTTGATAACACTCACATCCAGTTCCATAAACATAGCTCATATAGCTATTTAATATTAGTTCTGCATTTGAAGGGATTCAATGCCCATCACCAATTCT